GCGCCACCTAATCTACTTTACCAACATATACAAACTACTAATTAAAAAACCAAGGATGGGAAGATACAACAAAAAATCGTTGACACATAAAGTTATGACAAATGGGAATTATGTCAAATGAAAATTATGACAAATGAACAGTATGTCAAATACACATTATACTAATTTAGTGTTATACCAATTAAAAATTATTACAAATAAACATTATGTCATAAAATAGTTATGACAAATGAACATTATATCAAGTACATTTTATACTACATGATAATTATGACAAATAAAAATTATGAACAATGAACATTATGTCAAATTAAAATTATGTCTAATGAACATTATGTCAAACTTAAATTATGCGAAATAAACATTATGTCAAGTGCTTATTATAAAAAGTTAACATTATGTCAATCAGTAATTATGACAAATAACAGTTATGACTAATAAGAATTATGACAAATGAGCATTATGAGAATTGTAAATTATGACAAATTAACATTATATCAAATAACAATTATGTTAAATTGAATTTATGCCAATTAAGAATTATTATAAATGAAAATTATATTAAACAATCGATGTGACGAATAAACATTATATCAAATATATTTTGTACTAAATGATAATTATGCCAAATAAAAATTATGACAAATGAAAGTTATGACTAATAAGAATTATGACAAATGAGCATTTTGTGAAATGCAAATTATGACAAATGAACATTATGTCAAATACACATTATACTAAATAAGCGTTATGTCAATTGCTGATTATTAATAATAAACATTATATCAAACAGTGATTATTACAAATGACAGTTATGATTATTAAGAATTATGAAAAATAAGCATTATGTCCAATAGTCATTATGTTAAATTAGCGTTATACCAGTTAAGAATTATTACCAATAAATATTATGTCAAAAAGTAGTTATGACGAATGAACATTATATCAAATACATTTTATGATGAATGATAATTATGCCAAATTAAAATTATGATCAATGAAAATTATGTCATATAAAGATTATGACAAATGTATATTATGCCAAATAAAAATTTTGACAATTGAAAGTTATACCGAATATAACTTATACTAAATAAACATTCTGTCAAATGCGAATTATGCTGAATAATTAGTATGTCAATTAAAATTTATGCTAAAGTAAAATTATGACCAAAAAAATTATGACAAATATTGGTTATGTCAACTGGTTTTATGTCAAATGAATATTATGACATTTGAGATTTGGGGAAAATTACGGCACCACAGATTATTTGTGACTAACGTGTTACAGAAATGTTACGTAACATTGTTACAGAATTGTTCCGAATTGTAGTAACAAATGTCTTCCAGAACTTAACAGCAACAGAATTTCAGAACAGCTACATAACATTGTTCTGGCACAGTTCTAGAACTACGTTAGAACGTCAGTTACAGGTCACTTGTGACTATTGTGTTATAGAACTGTGACGTAACATAGTTACAGAATTGTTCCATTTTGTAATAACAAATGTTTCCTAGAACTTAACTGCAACAAAATTTCAGAACAGATACATAACATTCTTCTAGCACAGTTCTAGAACTACCTTGGAACGTCAGTTACAGATCATTTGTGACTGTCGTGTTATAGACATGTTACATAACATTGTTATAGAACTGTGACGTTATCATAATATAGAACAGTTCTGTCACTCTTTTGTAACAACTGTTCTGTAAAACTGTGACATCACTGTTATAGAACATTTATAGAACGTGTTTGCTGGGATTGACTCTCGTCTGACGGAAGATTTTGTCGATAAAAAATTTTGGCGCCGAAAAGAAAATTCTTAAAATTTTATTCTATTTTTTTGCCCAAATATAATGCTATTATTGTTTATAACAATTAAACAAAAAACGATATCAAAAAAATGCTCCGTCAGACGAGAGAGACACTATTCCAGAGAATATGTGGTTAAAATTTCAAGTCAATTCATTCATTAGAACTCGAGATATCGTGTACACCGTATTGAAAACTTAGTTTCGAGAAAAACGCGTTTAAAGTTTCGGCATTAGTTTTTTCAATAAAAAAATCACTTTTAAGCTTCTTACCATTAATCGCCCAATCCTGCTTCATATAATACACCTTCTTTTTCAAGGAAATCCTCTTCGAGTGCCAATCGCGCGGTTCTTCTTTCGATTCTCCCTTTTTTTGAAGCGTCGAACGACCGTTCGTTTGGTTGTGATATTCTGCGCTCGTCTAAGGTGTTGCATAAATTGAAGGCATTTGGTCCAATTTTGATGTTCATAACGTCCATCATTTTGAGGATACTGGAGTAGCCTTCATTGAAAATGCTCGCAGCACAATACGAAGCAATATCGACGGTTTTTGCGCCGCTGAATGTTTGTTTTGGAGCTAACGACCAGATCATCGCATTCAGGCTCTCGTTGCTGTTCTGTGTGTATCCTCCAACACAACGTGTCAACAAATTTTCGTTGCTCAGCTCTTCGTATACAGGTGTGATGGCCTTCTTCACGTAGCTAGAGAGAGCCGGTTTGTGTTCATAATCGGACAGAGTACCTTGAGCTTTAGCTTTTTGCCAGGTACACCAGCTATCTTCACCCTGCGGACAATAGGGTAGTTTCTCGTTTGTCGATGCTTTATGTTTCAGCGTAGCCCAGATTGCTTTTTTCATATCCGGCATAGAATCTTTATTCCTTCGGATGGCTAACCCGTAATAAATACTAAGTTCATCTATTAGTTTAGCTGTGAGCTTTCCTTTGCCGCCCAGTCCTTTAGTATTTTTTTTCAGTTTTCTCAATCGTGCTCCCATTCTTTTCTGGACATGACCAACGTATTCTTTTTTTTCGACAATACAATTTTCGCCGTAAGGGTTACATTTTGTTATCCCTTTGAAAGTTTTGCAATCCCCGTCACCGATATAGGAGGTGTATTTCACGCCGTGTAATTTCTCCGATCTCATGAACATTTCTTTAGCCGCGTCCACCTCCATTTTTCCGGCGCTACCAACGTGATTCGCAGTACACTCATTTTTGTGTGTTTCCATCCATTCATCAAAGTCGTCAGCGTGTGTCTTCCAGTACTCGCACTGCTTACAATACGCGCATTTTACTAGGAGATCGAGGACTTTTCCTGTATGATGTCCGATTAAAGTCGTCACGCCTTGCAACGATGAATAACCCCGCTTACGCCAAGTTCCGTCGCCAGAAACAGTTAATCCTCTTGTTGGTTTGTCAGCATTTTCGGCACCTTTCGTCAAACTTTTTTCTTCGGCAGCAGCAGCAGAAAATAGTAAATTGGCAACGGCTTGCGAAGCAGTATGAACACTATTGACAATATCATAGTAAACTTTTTTATTGAAGATTTTTGGGAAATCCATTATACCGCAAAACTTTCGTATACCTTCGTAACCGACACCAATGATTCTCATTGCAAAAACAATGCGCCTGTTGACTTCGTAAGCGTTGTTTATAAGTGGGCAGGAGTTTATGTAGCGAGGTTCACAATGACTGCATTTAACGGCTAATTTGAATCCAAGTCCACGGATACTACTTTCCTCAAAAGTCACATTTCCACCGCACGTTATGCACATGATCATTTCACTCAACGTTTGAAAAAAGAATAAAAATTCAATCAAACGGTATTCATAGCCATTTATATTTTCCACTTCCACTGATTTTGTTTTTAATTTTTTCGCGGAAGAACTTGTCGATTTCGTTTCATTCTCCATCGTATGGCGATTTGGTGGCGGCGGTCTTTTTCTACGTCGTGAAGGTCGCCCGGGAGTTTCGCGTGAACCCTTTCGGTCGGAAGAAGCAGGCTTCATTTTGATAAAAGCATAAAAACTCGACTAAGACTATTAAAAATTTTTTAAATTGAATTGCAAGCCACTATGCTGTACCCGCCGAGCAGATAGTAATTTGCCGCAAATACGCCTTTCGGAGCGCTTCGGTAAAAAGTCGAAATTTCAATGAAAAAAAATTCGACCAGCTTTAACACCTATTCTACCTTAATTTAGAGGGTTCAAAGTAGTTTTTAAGCCAATAAACAAAAAATTGATTTTTTGAAAATTTAACAGTAGACTTCCCCCTTAATTGAATCAGAGAAATTCATAGCTTCCTCCATGAGGAAGCAAATTTTTTTCTTTACACAATGAGGAAGCAAAATACAACTCAAAAACATGAAGAAAAATTGAACTAGAATAATTATAAAAAATATTCTTAAAAATTGATTTTCATTATGATGAGAATGTAATAATAATTTAACAAAAATGGAACTCTAAATTGAATAAAAGTAATTAAGAAATAGGTATTAAAAATTGATTAGAAAACGATCTCCTTACCCGGTAAGTTTTTACAACTGTTCAGCAGCATCCAGGCCTAAATCTTGGCATTTACAATCTTTTCTATGAAAAATTTTAAGAAAAGAGACCAGAGTTCACAAACCCAACTTGTAAAAAGCATTAATTAGAAATTGCGCAAATTTTCAAAAATGATTATTCTGTTCATCCGTCCATTCTGGCATCAATTAATGCCAGAATTTCTCTATATTTTTTCTTTAATCTGTAGTCACAGCTTTAATATCCAATTTTTTTTTTCATCAAATTATATAAATTCTTTCAAAAGTTTTACGATTTTGACACAAAAATTAACATTTTTTTTCACTGTAAGCCATCAGTTCGTCAAAGGCGAGTTCATTTTTAATGAAACGTGCTGGTGTGTGCCCAATAGAGATAAATATTTGTTTGTCTTTATTAATTATTTAAAAAAAAAGATATATTTTAGTTTTAAATGAATGGATGAATGAACAGAATAATAATTTTTGATGTATGTAAAGAAATTCTTTTACATTTGTAATCTGTTATAAATGTAATTACACGTAATACACTCGCTAAATTGAAGATCTCTAAATTTTCTATTTCCATTTTAGTATAACCTTTAAATTTGGTACAAATGTATTGAGATAAAATATATTTTAAATAAATTAATATAAAATTTTAAGGGCGTTTTAAAATTTTAGACATATCCTTTATTTTAACAAAATTATAAATCATTTTACAATTTTTAAATTTATTACATTTTTGTAAAAAATTTACGGTCAATTATTAAGATGTACACCATTCGTATGCATTTACAAAAATTTTATGCCATGGAGAGTATTTAGAATTCCAATCTGCCGAAACCCATGGTAATTGCCATGATAAAGTACATCTTTCCGGATGAGGCATCATTGCCAAATGTCTTCCGTCAACTGAGCATACAGCAGCAATTCCGTCTGAAGATTAAATTTTAAATTTATTTACTTTTTTCAATCTATCAAAGGTATGTATGTAATTTACAGTGTTATTGTGAATTTCACTCAAAAAAAATTTAAGATATTTTCATGATTAAAAGAATAGAGTCAGCCGGGGTAAATCCGAACGCTTTTAGTAAGTTTCAACGATAACATAAGTTTTTTCTTTTAAAAGACAATACTTCCGGTATTCTGGTGTATGAAGTTGTTACTTTACTTCCATAGTACAATTTTATGGGGTAGCAAATTTTTTTGATAAATTACAATCAGCGACCCTGAAACCCCCCGAGTAACAATTTTCGAGCGAATCCAATGAATTTTTTAAATCTCGTCCGCCATATTGGATCCGCCATTTTGAATTTTTGAAAAACTGACTTCAAATTGGTAATCAGCGACCCCAAAAACCCTAGAATACCAAATTTTATTAAGATCCTGAAAAGCAAAAAAAGTGGAACACTCCTTCGAGAGAACAGAGATTAAGTTTCTGCTTATTAATTACTAACGAGGATACGTATAGAAAGAAAAACTTTTTTCTATGTACTTTTATAATGTTAAAATAATAGTGTAATCAAATAAGAAAAAATTATTGAAAATACCGTTCGGATTTACCCCAGTTTTCCAATTTTCTGGGGTAAATACGAACCGTCTGATATTATTAATAAAATTTTACAGAAGGCAAAAATCAAAAATAGTTTCTGTTCTAGTATTCATAACAAACAATTATAAATAATAAAATGAATTTTTAGCATCTTTTTCTTCAAATACGAGACAAAATACTAAAAGAGTGTCATCTTTGATTTTCAATCTTGTTTGCAATACTCGTTATCTTTGTTTATGCTGTTGATAATTAACAAACGAAAAATGGGATAATACTTAGAATCTCTTCAAGAGGATCTGAGGTAAAAATTCTCATGTCTAACTTAATTTTTTAAATTTTAATTAAGCTGAAATAATTAGCGTTCGGATTTACCCCGGCTGACCCTATTTAAGTAATTTCAGATATTCAAACCATGTCTTGTACAAGAGATAAATAATATATATAAACATATGATTTGATAAAATTACCTAATATTGATCAAATGTTACCAGGGTGTCTAAAAACTAACTGCTAGTAAAAAAATTCCCTGACTTTTCACTGACTTTTCCCTGACCTGAATTACACTAAAAAATTTTTATTTTTATCAATTAAAATTTATTTTGATACAAAATTGATTTTGACGGCGTCAAATCTTAAATTATCAAATTTTTATTTAGTAAAATTATATAAAGCAAATTTTCTAGTACATCGAATTTTAAATTAATACAATTTCAATTTAACGGAATTTATGTCAAGAAAAATTGCATAAAGAAAAATTTTTTTAACAGAATTGTTATTTTAGTAAATTTCGATTTATCAAAATGTTTACTTAACAAAATTGTCATTGAATAAATTCACAATTAACAGAATTTCTATTTAAAAAAATTCTTAATTAACAAAGTTTTTTTAAAGAAAATTTCAATTCCAACTAATTCTTATTTAAAAGAATTCTCATTCAAGAAAAATTCTACTTACACTCTAAATCTGAATCACTGAAAATTCCACTGAATTCAAATCAGTGGCTCAGTTTTCTTTAATTCACCAGTGGAATTTCACTGTCATCAGTGATTTTTACTGATTCCCAGTGAAATTCCACTGGTGAATTGAAGAAAACTGAGCCACTGATTTGAATTCAGTGGAATTTTCAGTGATTCAGATTTAGAGTGTAGCTCTTTTTTATCAATTTTTCTAGACATTAATTTCGTCAAATTGAAATTATATTAATTTAAAATTTTTAAAAAGTAGGGGAGACTGGGGCAAACCGGCCAGGTGTTAGTTTCTTAGAATTGGTCAAACTTTAAAATATATATTTGTGAAAAATAAAAAAAATGAATTACAGAAATAAATTGCGGTAGTGATTGTGAAAATATGTGACAAAATTTGTGTATTTAGTGAAATAGTGACAATATATTTATTATAAAGAAATTATTACACGTAAGATGCAACAAGCGAAACATGATTAATATATATGAACAGTAAGTATAAAAAAAAATAGAATACTTAAAATAAATAAGATCCGCTCAGGTACGCAAGGATATACTATAAAAGTCAATTTGTTACAAATTTTACTTGACTGGACTTTCAATATTCGTAACTTTTTAATTCAATTCTTAATTTACTGCATAATTATAATTGAAGAAAAAATTTTTTTCGCAGAATTGTCATTTGATAACATTTCTATTTTTCAGAGTATTCAAATGTTTAAAATTTAATTTGTCTAAAATTGCAAAAGACAAGCGGTACATATGAATTGATATTATCGAAAAAATTTTTCTTTTACAAAGGTTTACTATCGGTCAACTAATTTTGTCACATATTTTCACAATCTCTACCGCAATTTATTTCTGTAATTCATTTTTTTTATTTTTCACAAATATATCCGGATGATATTGCCTAAATATGTATTTTTAACAATTTAGAAATATTTCCTTTCGATATTTCTAGAATTTTAATAAATAATCTTTTCAAAATATTTCACTTAAAAATTTGTAACATATTTCATTTTTATATTTTGCAAATATTAAAAAATAATATGTCAGTAATTTTTTATTCTCACATTTCTTGAACATTTCGCTGAAATTTTTATTACAATCGGAACTGCAATATTTCTTATAGGCGGACATTTCATTGCTTGCATCAAAATTTCATTGACCTTTCATTGAAATATTTCGAGTCTTTCAATGAAATATTCAGGGCTGGTATAACAATTTTCTTTTGCCAATATCTCATTAATTTTACGATATTTATCCTAAATTCTTTGCATTTATGACTCGTAATTACGTAAATATACTTCAAAATTAGTTTGCTGATTTTATAAAATTGTTTAAAAATATTTTTTTGTATAAGCTCGCTTAACTTTAATTTGCAGCACATTCCTACTTACTGTCAGACAAAATAAGTTACTAAATGAATTACTTTACTTGCTTTTATATAAAATATTTGAGAAAAACCTTTAATTTTTTGTTCTTTCAACTGTATAAGCTCCCTTAAATACATGCTTACCTATACTACCATTAGGATTTAATGGATATCTTTCAGTGGGTTTTCCTTCCTCGTCAACGTATTTAATTGGAAGACAACTGTTCTTTTTAAGTTTGTTTAAAATTGCATCATCTCGGAATGTAAATCTTCCTTCTCCATGAGCTACCCAAATTCCAAACTGTGTTCCCTCCATATCCTTCAGCATAATTGAAGTTGATTTTTCGATTTTAACAGTGCTCCATCGACATTCAAATCTTTCGGATTTATTTTGATCAAGGAATATTCCTGGTTTACCTATTAAATTGTACATATATTCTACTTATTTTTCTATTTATAAGATAAACATTTTTTATTATTTTCCATGAAACTATTTTCTACCTTCTATTAGTAACTTTAAAAAAAATCTAAAAATTTGCGAAAAACCTAATTAGATAATTATTTTTTAACTAACCGAATTACGTTTCTTTAATTTTTCTAAACACTTCAAAGTCTATTAAACATTAATTCTTACCTTCTTCTGATTCGTCAAAGAAGCCTAATAAACTCATTAATTGACAACCATTGCAAACACCGAAACTGAAAGTGTTCTTGCGTTGCCTAAAAATCTTAAGCTGATCTCGTAATTTTGAATTAAAAAGTAGACTGGCTGCCCATCCCTTCGCTGACCCTAAAACGTCTGGAAGGAAAAAAAAATAAATTTAAAATAATATTTTTTTTCTTGTTTGCATTAAGAGACTATTAATCAAGCCTGTAACGATAAATATTGTACTAGCAAGAAACAGCCAAAGTTTTGTTTAGTTATGTGAAAAACCACGTCTTCAACGAAGATATGATTTAAGTTAAAATTCTTTAAACTATGTAAAATAAATTCTCTATATAAGAAGTAAAGCCCTAATTATATTCTGTTATACTATGGAGTTTGATTGGAATTAATGTTTATATCGCATGTAAAGTTTTACAAAAAAATATTATAGTATTTTGTGAAAATTTATATGTTCTTAACAGTGTTGGGTAGTAACTAGTTATTAGAAACTAAGTTACTGAAAAAGTTACTTTACTTGTAACTTATAACGTAACTAAGTTACTTTTTTTAAAAGTAACTTGTAACGTAACTTAGTTACTATTTTAATAGTAACTTTTAATTTTAAGTTATTTCGTTACTTTCTTTGCACTTTTTTATTGCTTTAAAAACTTAATAATTTCGTATTTCAAAAAAAGCGCGCAAAGTGATAGCAAAAGAACATGGCCTCTGCGCTCGCATGCTTCGCATTGTACCGAGTGTTTACATTCTGTTTTTCATGTGCTCGTGTTCCATCTATTCACGTCCGTGAAGCTGGCCGAAACATACCGTAATATGAAAATATTCACTTCATGAGAATTAAGGGCTAATTAGGGCTGTGTGTCTTGAATTTTGGGCTTTTGATTTATTTAAGGAAAATGACACCCGACTAACTTCATATTGAAGCTGGCCGGAAATACGCATAGCTTCTATATTACTGCTCCAATTAACTTCTAAGTGGCAGAAACATTTAGGGCTCATTAAGCCCTTTAAGAATACTCTATATTATTAGTTGAAAAGTTTCAGTTTTTTAAAAAAAGTCGTGGTTCCGGCCTGCTTCACGTTGAAGCTGGCCGGAAACACGCATAACTTCTATTGCACTGCTCCTATTAACTTCTAAGTGGTTAAAAAATTTAGGGCTCATTCAGGATTACTAAAAAAACGCAATTTCTTATTCAGAGCACTACCATTTTATAAGAAATTTCTTCAATAAAGATTTTTATGTATTTTAAGGTTTCTATCGTAACCGATATTATGATACCCGCCGCTTCTTCAACAGAAAATGATGTAATTTTAATTGTTTTATTATAAGCAATGTTCATGTACGTATACAGCAGTGCACTCAGTGATGGTAAAGTGTGTTGCATGTGAATTTAATGTAAAATTTTGTATTTAAATAACGTTTTATTGGCAATTATAATTTGCCGTAAACGTGACATATAAATAAATTTTCGAAATTCGAAATGCTTTACAAGAAAATTAATCTGGTTTGAGATATTTCTCACTATTAAATTTCTAAGAGAAATACAAGTCTAGAAACAGGAGGTACAACTTCGGTAGTGGGGGTACAGGACAAATACGTAAGAGTATGGTCTTCTGAAATTAATTAAAAAAAGGACTCTATTCAATACTTTTTTTTACTGGGAATCTTGTAACTTTTTGCATCAATCTAATTGAAAATTGAAGTTACTATAAACATTCATGTACGTACGAGACCACTGTCAATTGTTCGGGGTGAAGTAAATATTTTCTACTTAATATAGGTATTGCAAAAAAATCAGAAACAGTACATTTTTTTACTTAATCTTTAACTTAATCAAAATAAGTATTTTTTGTCACAAAACAATTTAAGTTATGATAATAACTTTATCATTTGTATAAATAAATATTATTCTTATTTACAAACGTATTAAGGATTTTACCACGGAAGAAGTAGTTTTCACAAATTTTGCAATTTACCAAACTTTATTTACACACTGATTTAGATTTAAAATAAACTTATTTGTTCAAACAATTTTTAAATAAAGGACAATTGCTGTTTACTAACTTTTTACATAATGGAGTTTTTCCTAATTTTGCAATTCACCATACTTGAAATAAATATTTAACTTTAAATTAAAAATTAAATCATTATTAAATAATTAATAACCAAACTAATATTGTAACATTATTATTAATTATTATTGTTTTTCTCCCTTCTGAGAAAAAACTAATTTAGATGTATTAAAATGAATTAACTTTTTTGGCAAGATTCAATTCATATTTATCGCTAAGCAAGATTCAGTGAAGCCCCGACGAATTGAAAAGATTAAATCTCAAAAGTTTGTCCATTGAATTGGGACGAATAGAGAGTTTGAAAGTTGAATACAGCTTTGTCGAATTCAAGAGAATTGCATAACACAGATCGTAATCATAAACGGAGGAATGAGTTAGAGAAGGATAAACAATATACCTATCCTTCTCCAACTCATTCTTCTGTTTACGTTTGCAATTGCGTTTACGACGATATCCTGCTCAAGCCTTGAGAAATGCATTGGTATGTTCGCTGGGGGCGTGGCTTAATCATTTATCCTACAATTAGTAGTTCCATTTTTCACCACCATAGTGTAACGAAGCATTCGTTAGTCGGTTTTTGGTCTTGCTTTTCTATGTGGCAGTCTAATTCAGTTGCTTTCGCGAAATCTGTCAAGGGACTGATTTGCGCAGGCGTGACGTACGAACTTTCACGGGGGGCGGCGAATAGGGCCGAATGTCATTTTCGTAGGCTAGGATTGTCCATAGGAGTGAGAGAGATCGAACCATAGGTGGAGATCCAAGGACCGGCAGGGGGATCTATCAGCAGTTCAATTACTCGATCGTTAGAGAGCGGATGCGCTTTCGTTCCAATTATATTTTTTATATCTATTTTATAATATCTTTTATTGTAATTTTAGCAATTTAATAAATAGTTTTATTAGTGTTAATTTGGAGTGTTTTAACTAAGTGTTTTCTCCTTTGCGGATTTCTTTCTACAACTTGAGAAGCGGCGTCGGTTTGAGTCAGCTGAGCGTCCTCAAGGTAAGTGGTTAGTGTTGGCCTGCCTCAACGTCCGGCAAAAGATGTTTGTGTCTTGGAGGATCCCCTTGTGAGATTTGTTAGTAAAAAGTATCTTTTGAATTGGCGGGTTAGATGCCAAATTTATTTAATTATAAATTCAAAAACCTCGTTACAATAGTTAAAAGTATTTCTGATTGATGGATGTTGGCAATTATCCTAATTTTAGTAGTTACAAATAATATCACCAGAGAGCGATTTGTAGTAACGGACTTCCCAATAGCCTCTGCAGGGCTCTATAATGCAAACCTCTACAACAGAAGCTATCCATTGCCCAAGACATATTTGTCCACTATTATGAACATAACATGAATGGATTCCATTGTTTTTTAAATGCGACATTTTTATGTCAACTACTTAAGCATACTGAATGAAATTTTTTAGTTCTTTGGCAACTGCCTAAGGCTATTTTCACAAAATGCTGTTTCTATACCCTTATGTTGAAAACAATATAATAATATAATGAAATTTATTGTGTTTTTATGTTCAACATAAGGACATAAAAAGAGCTTTTTGTAGACATAGCCTAACTCTAACCTTGTTGGGTGCAATTCTCCACCTGATGTGTTCTCTTGAATTGAAAGTTTCATTATAACACTGACTAATAACATACGTAATATTGAAAATCTTCTAGGCCCAGATTAAAAATAATGCATAGGAAAATTTCGAAAATACATGTAGAACCAGCCAACTTCAATTGATACATGTATTAATATTCTCACCAGTTTTCTTACAAAACATAAAATAATTCTTGACAAAATATGAAGAAAATGGAATTTTAATAAAAGACACATGGATCTCTAGTCTAATTAACACAAAATTTTGCTTCAAAATATTATTTTTCATTAAGTAAAAAGTTAGGCATTTTTCGAGAAAAAAGTACAATCGAATACAAATTAACATTTAAAAATTGAATAAATTTACAATTTTCTATTGAAACATTAATTTCTTTAAATGTCATGTCAATTTCATTCTGATTACCTTTTCTTCTTTGAAATTATTGTCGAAAAAATGAATGTTTAAATAGATAGCATTAATAAACATTTTATCGACGGGGGCATCGAATTAATTTATACAAGGTTATTATCTACGGATAACATGACTGTAAAAATTCGAGTACTCGATATGATACTTCAAGCCAAGCTCGGGCTCGGCTCGAAAAATTTTTGGCTCGGCTCGGTCATTTGAGCTTTTTGCACACCCCTACTATTTATCCTAACTTACTTTAAAAGTTATGATTATTGGATTTTTTTTAGTAATCCTGAATGAGCCCTAAATTCTTTTAACCACTTAGAAGTTAATAGGAGCAGTGCCATAGAAGTTATGCGTGTTTCCGGCCAGCTTCAACGTGAAGCAGGCCGGAACCACGACTTTTTTTAAAAAACTGAAACTTTTCAACTAATAATATAAAGTATTCTTAAAGGGTTTAATGAGCCCTAAATGTTTCTGCCACTTAGAAGTTAATTGGAGCAGTAATATAGAAGCTATGCGTATTTCCGGCCAGCTTCAATATGAAGTTAGTCGGGTGTCATTTTCCTTAAATAAATCAAAAGCCCAAAATTCAAGACACACAGCCCTAATTAGCCCTTAATGAGCCCTTAATTCTCATGAAGTGAATATTTTCATATTATGGTATGTTCCGGCCAGCTTCACGGACGTATCGTATTCGTTTGGTTTACTGTTGCAATATAGGGGATTTACCTGCATAATTTAAACAGTGTACAAGTTTTTTTAAAATAAGATTTTAATTAATTAATTTATTTGTATTCGGCAGTTTTATATATAGACTTTTATTTAAGAGTTTATAAAAATCATTTTTAGCAACCCCGTGTCGAAATTGTACCTTATTAATTGATTTGTAAATTAATTCTTAAAATGGCAAACAAAATCCATGATTATAAAAACTAATTTTCTAATAATGATAATAGTTTTTAAATTTTTATAAATAAATACTTGGATAGGTTAAACATCGATGCATTAAAGAATTAGAACCCTATTGAAAATCCCCACATGGGATCCTATATATGATTCCATATAGGTTCCTTTATAAAAACCGTTATGAAATCCTAGGTCGACATAGGAATCCACATAGAATTCCATGTAAAATCATATATGAAATTCGGACACGATTTGGTGTATGATTTGATGTAGGAATTTATGATATTGTTTCTACATTGAAATCTATGCGAATTCCTACATTATTTCCTATAATTTTTCTCGCATATTATTTTTGTCAATTCCCTTCATAATCAACTCACATCAAATCTTATAAAAAATATCATATAAAATTCTAAAGATTTCCTTATATGAAATCTAACATACAAGTTTTAATATAGGAAACCATATGGGATTTCATGTGCATTTTTACATATGATTTCACATTGATTTGAACATAGGTAATCACATTGATTAATATATAGGAAACAATATAGGATTTCATGTGATAAATTTCAGTTGACTGTTTTATACAGAAGGCAGTTAATAAAAATTAATTAAAAATTAAATAATATTACTGCAATTCATCTGAAAAGAAAAAAAATTGTGCTTTGCAATACACCTTCTGATTTAAAGTCTCAGCTGATATAGTATTCAATAATGATCTCAACTGTGAGAAAAAAAAATTTTCACCATCTGGTGGCGTAAGAGTGGAATTATGATTCACATTTACATTTCCTATGTAGGAATCCATGTGAGAACATATGCAGGATCTTATGTAAGATATTATTTAAGATTCTACATGGATTCCATCATGTATGTAGGAATCTATGTAAAATCGTATATGTAGTATCTTACATAAGATCCTATATATGTTCTCACATGGATTCCTACATAGGAAATGTAAATGTAAATCATAATTCCACTCTTACGCCGCCAGATGGTGATAATTTTTTTTCTCACAGTTGAGATCATTATTAAATACTATATAAGCTGAGAATTTAACTCAGAAGGTGTATTGCAAAGCACAAATTTTTTTCTTTTCAGATAAATTGCAGTAATATTATTTAATTTTTGTTAACTGCCTTCTGCATAAAGCAGCCAACATGAAATCCCATGTGATTTCCTATGTTCAAATCCATGTGGAATCATATGTAAGAATGCACATGAAATCCCATATGGTTTCCTATATTAAAACTTGTATGTTAGATTTCATATAAGGAAATCTTTAGAATTTTATATGATATTTTTTATAAGATTTGATGTGAGTTGATTATGAAGGAAATTGACAAAAATAATATGCGAGAAAAATTATAGGAAATAATGTAGGAATTCACATAGATTTAAAATGTAGAAACAATATCATAAATTCCTACATCAAATCATACACCAAATCGTGTCCGAATTTCATATATGATTTTACATGGAATTCTATGTGGATTCCTATGTCGACCTAGGATTTCATAACGGTTTTTATAAAGGAACCTATATGGAATCATATATAGGATCCCATGTGACGATTTTCAATAGGGAAGCAGCTATAGCGAAAGAAAAAAAAGATAAAATTCGAAGAACAATTCTCAGATTCTTCATCACAGTCAAATGAGAAGCAAACTCTTTTGGAAAACTGGACTTCCGATTCAATGCTAGTTACTCAAAAAATATTGGATAAAAAAATTATGGATTATGTAATAGAAATGTTGTAGAAAAATCATCTTTTAAAGACCTAGTGTTACTTGGATTACCAGGAAATTTAAAAATGTTTATACGTAAAACTTTAAGGGAAAGAATAGATGATGCTTTTATTAAAATCAATGCAAATCTATGTGAAGAACTTGAATAAATACATGTATTACAATTATATTTCACATTTTAATTTGATTCCCATTTGATGAAAAAATTGAATTTCGATAAGACAAATTTTAAAATAATTTTTCAGTAACTTGAAATGTAACTTAAGTTACTTTGTAAGTAACTGTAACTGTAACGATTTACTTTTTTATAAAAGTAACTGTAATAGTAACTAGTTACTTTTTTTCATTAAGTAACTTAAATGTAACGAGTTACTTAAAAGAAAGTAACTTACCCAACACTGGTTCTTAACTATTATGGTTTTTTTATACATCGAAAAATATTTTAAAACGAAATTAGTCTGTGGAATCAAGTTTTAGCTTTTCTGACGAGATTGAAACTGATCTCCGCACTATCAAGATATCGAAATATAATCGCATGTCGCTGCCAATAGTTGTTCGGTACCAAAAGACTTGAAAATTCTTGGTAAACTTTGTCGTGGTGGTGGGGCTTTTCACTAAAGGACATTCAAAAACCAAGATGTAAGATAAGGAGAAACAGATATAAAAAGGAAAGAAATAAAGATGCTTACGGAGCAGGGAAGGCCATGTGGACACCCAGTTTCTTAAAGTTCTTTAAGGGTTTCGAGTGTCAGTAGCGAAAGAAGTTTGATTCCGTCTGACCTAGACAATGAGACAATTGAAGAAGAACGCGAGATCTGTTTAAAGCTTAGGCAAGCGGAAGCTGAGTGTCTTTAGAGGAATGAAGAGCAGATCGCCAAGATGGTAAAGTCTTGCGAAGTCCCGAAAAATATCAACATGACTATTAAGGATAGACTTAAGACTCTTCAGGATCTTGTCAGTAAGGCGAAGACAAAGCATGTTCTAGCAGATAATGGAGATAGTAACCTTGATGGTGCTATAGATAATGCGGAAGTGAACCAAGAAACAGGAAAAGAGAACAAATCCATGACAAGCGATTTCGGCGCGCAGTCAAAGAGGCGCAGATACGAAGCAAAAGCTCTGGCAGTCTGGAAAGGATTGACACGGAGGCTAATAAAAGAAAGCAAGAGGAGAAACCTCTTGTCAAAAAGATTGCGAAGGTGACGGTAATAACGAATCCTAAGCAAACCAGTAAAAAGAAAGCGACGAGTGAATCTATATTGGTGATCCGAGTCGCAACAAGAACAACGTATGCAGACGTATTGAGCAAAATTCGGAGGGAAGTGAATCCGGACGTCAGCCACACTTTAAAGGCCTACAAGAAGGGGAGATCTGATCAAAATCGGAAGAGACTCCACTAAAGGAAGCATTCACGGCTGAGGCCACTAAAGCGGTTGAAAGCATGTGTAAGGTGTAGAACGTGAATAGTCAAGTCACAGTGGAAATCCGCGACCTGGATTGCCTTATCCAGAAAGAAGATATCTAACAGGCATTGTAGGAAGTGCTCCAAAAGCCAGGAAGCAGGGGATTGACGGTCCTAGGATCCAACCGACGAGGAATGAAGCTCGCAGTTGTAGTCACCAACCTAGAGGAGGGGTACAGTCTGGAGAAAGTGGGACGCATAAGAATTGGCTTTATGTGTACCCAATAAAAAGAAGAATGACGGTTGTTCTGTGTATGGCGTACGGCTACATAGGAAGAGTTTTTAAGGCAGCGGACAGATCGACTGCGTTCTTCAAGTCCGGTGAAGTCGATCATAAGTTTGCAAACTTCAGTAGGAGCCCAAGCTACTTCTTATGTAGAGAAAAGTATGACAATAAAACGAACATTAGCAACATCGCAGGCAGCAGAGGATGTGGATTCTTTAGAATGTCCCTTGAGGAGTCCAAGAAGACTCTCGTATGAACGAAGAATAAATAAACCAGAAAGAATGGCAACGGAAAGGGTTGCGATAGCTAGATCCCAGGGATCTTCACCTATGAAGTTTAATTGTTCATCCCGTGATCGCTGAGTATTTGCCGTTTATATATATCTCGCCTAGAAATTATAAGTGAGATTCTTCATGATCCGTTACTAATTATTTAGGTGTAAAACATTTTATACAGGATGTTGTACAGGAAAAAATTAGGTACAAATTAATTTACAAAATCTCACATAGAATATAAGGGGTCATCCATAAAGCATGTGATACATTTTTTTAGAATTTTAACACCCCCTCTCCCCCTTGTGATGCTTTTTTCAATACCGATTAATATGGAGTGTGATATTTTGCTGACCCCCCCCCTACCCCCTAAAGTATCACATGCTTTATGGATGACCCCTAATAGGAATACAATAATTTTGCAAGAAATTTTTTTCAAGTATATCAGCTTGAAAATACTTAAAATACATTATAATAGAATTTATCACTCGGTATAGTATCTCACCATGCTGCCTGTTTTTTCTGAACTCTTTGATAATAATTTTAGAAATTATCTTATAAACACTTTTTCTGTTAAGGACAGTTTTACTGTTTAAACAGTAAAGAAAAGTCTGTGTATTGACACGGAGAAATTGATAGCTTCTATTATATTAAAACATATTATGTTAATATTATGAAATACAATTGAATTATTATTCATAATTTTTTTAAACTTTTAGTTACCTGCATAGCTGAAACCACCAGGGAAGATAATTCCCCTAAAACTTTCCAAAGTTATATGATTTTGTAAAAGATCTTGCATTGTAATATCCCATACTTCAAAGCCAGCTTGCAATAATGAAGCAGCCATTTCTCTATCTCCATTTATGCCTTCTTCTCGTATTACAGCAACTTTGATTTTATCTAGAAAAATATAATTTTGTTAAAATTATTTTTATTCCACACGAATTTGTATGTTCAATCTTTTTATTAAACAGATAATAATATTATTAACATTTCACAAAGAAAATTATTTTTTTTGTCTGTATTATGTATTTAGTAAAATAAAATTACACATAAAATTAAAAAACGTATTTTTTACATTTCGAAACGTCGTATAGAATTAAAAATATTTTAAAACATGCTCAGAATATAATGTAACAATGAACATTACAAGGGAAAGTTTGCAAAACAAAATGATTTAAATTTAAATATATTGCACCGTCAGACAAAATTCAACTTTTTTTTTGACCCACAAAAAAATTTAACATTTTCGGAAACTAGGACCCAAAAAAATACCCGTATCTGGCCGTTTTGCTAGATCAAGTCGTTTGTGGTTTTTAGGGGTGAAAACAGCCCTTAAATAAAAAGTGACAAGATATCTTTTAAAAATTATTAATATTTTATAAAACTTGGTAACTGGGGGTTTTCGGGGTCGCTGATTATTATTAATCTGTCATATTTTTAAAATTCAAAATGGCGGATTCAATATGGCGGTCAAAATTTTAAAAAGTTATTAAATTTTTTTTAAACCTTGATATCTAGGGGTTTTTTGGGTCGCTGATGACGAATCTGATGTTAAATTGTCCAAATTCAAAATGGCGGATATAAAATAAAAAATTAATAAGTTTTTAAAAATTTGATCGCCATATTGGATCCGCCATTTTGAATTTTGAAAATCTGACATCAGATTAATAATCAGTGACCCCGAAAACCCCCAGATACCAAGTTTTATAAAATATTAATATTTTTAAAAGATATTTTGTCACTTTTTATTTAAGGGCTGTTTTCACCCCTAAAAACCACAAACGACTTGATCTAGCAAAACATCCAGATACGGCTATTTTTTTGGGTCCTAGTTTCCGAAAATGTTAAATTTTTTGTGGGTCAAAAATTGTGTCGGACGGTGTTGCAGAAAAGAGAACTAATCACGAAAGCTCTCTTTATGAGTAGTTTCCAAATATATAATTTATATTGAATACAAAAAAAACTGTCTTAATACATTGAGTGCTACATACAGAGTGAGTTAGGCCAATATTACTTCAAAAGTAGCTCTAGTGTAGTTATTTGAATCGCCAATTCTCGACGAAAAGTAAATAAAAATATTCCTACATAAATACCTGTGAATTTCAAAAAGTGAGGGAATAAGTGAAATTCAAATCAAAAAGTGACAAAATTGATAAATAATTGTCGGTAAGTAGCAATTCTATAATTCGGAAATTTTTGTAAATTCATGCATCTTAATGCATAAATTTGAAAGTTTTGTAGGTTAAGTAAAAATGATTAATTTTTGCAAATTTTGTCCTTTATATTGGTTCCGATATTTTGAAATTCTGACTTCAAATTCGAGTTCAGAGATCTAAAAAAAACCCCTTTATATGCAGTTTCAAACAAAAATTTTCATTTTTTCAAATTTTTCACTCATATTGAATTCGTCATTTTGAATTACAATTTTTGTCACACGGCATTCGAAATGTAGTGTTCCTTACTATGAAATGAGTAGATATGCAAATTAGGCAAGAGCAAGACATTCTTATGTTATTTTCATAGACAGAAGAGAGAAAATGATTGCGTTAAATTTTAAGAAGAAAAGGGTCTTATGCTATTTTCCTTAGGTAGAAGAAGAAAAAAGTTTTTAAACAAAGACATTCTCATGCTATTTCATTGTGATAGATGAAGAAAGAAAAGCGCTAAATTCTTGCGTTAGATGACAAAGACAAGACGTGATCACCACCACGATATTATTATTAGGTTTATTCAATTTTTAATTTTTATTTATGAGACATTTTATTTTATATAACAAATTTGTGCGATTCAATAAAATTTTTAATTAATTTTTTAATTTTTACTTCAAAAAAAGATCACTACTTACAACGGTAGCGTAGAATGGCTGTAGCTCGAAATAATGAAGAGACCAGAATTTGCGTTAACGAAGTAAAATGTAGACAATAAGGCTATCTTTCAAACTTTTTTTGGTTTTTGTCTTTATCGGCTCGGGGACCGGAGATACAGTTTGAAAAATGAAAACTGAAAAAGTGGTGTTCTCGCTCCACTCTACTCTACTATTAAAATTTTAAGTTTTAAAGATAAAAACTCATTTTTCTGAATTAACGTACTAATTGATTTTTTCAAAATTTTTTCAAAAAAACTATTTCCTATTACGAAAATTTTAAGCCTAGTCCGATCGTGGGAAAAGAACTTTTACAATATTTTTAAAAATATTGTTGGTTTTTTTTATACTACGTCACTATGATTTTCCATCAAAATACATAAAAGTATAGGTAGTATAAAAAAATCCAAAAATATTTTTAAAAATTTCGAAAATTTTGTAAAAATTGTCTGCCCATTGATCGAACTAAGCTCAATATTTTCATAAAAGGAAATAGTTATTTTGAAAAATTTTTGAAAAAAATCGATCAGTACGTCAATTGAGAAAAATGACTTTTTATCTTTAATTCCTTGACTGTGATGTGCGTGTATAGACGTACTTTGTAAGGTGGGCCCTCACTATGAGATATGTCTATACACTTACTTACAAAAAACTTAAAATAAAAAATAACAGATATACATCACACTGACGTTATTTAAGGTATTTTAAACTCTGAAACCGAATTTGAGGTCAAAAATTAAAAATTCGAAAACCCTAATTCAATATGTCTTATCATAAGTGACCTATTTTGAAATTCGCTTGAAACTCGTCACTGAGGTTGTTTTTGGGATTACTAATTATGAATATGAAGTTAGTTTCATTTGAAACACGCTATTTGGGAGTTTTAAAGGTCGATGATTTCGAATCTGATGTTAGTTTTTCAAAATGGTGGATCCGATTTGGCAGATAGGAAAATTAAAAATCAAAATGAATTTACTAATTCAGATTCGTAATCAGCGACCTTGAGAACCCCGAGTAGAGTTAAATTTTGAAAAACTAATATCAGATTCATAATCAGCGAATGAAAGATTTTTCTCCTCACAGTATTATTGATTATTATCGATTAAAGCTATCTTTTAGAATTGATGAAATATTTCAAGTTATAAATAGTGAATTTTGTTGTTGATGAATTATCCTGGTGGCCTAGTTTCATTAAAATAAAACATTTATTTAAACTCCTGTTGATATTTTAATTTTGATCCAAGAAAGATTTGGCTCCTTCTAGAGTGGGTCAAATTATTGATTCAAAAGGTAGAAAAAAATTTTTTCTTTAATTGTTGCTTATTGTAGTAGGTCGACTAATGTTCTCAATTTGCGTGAAATAAACTCGGTTTTGATTTCCAATATAATAAAAAAATTTTCTGCTGACATATAGTAATTTTTCTCTAAGTTAAATACAAGCTTTTATACTATCTGTGTAGTTGTGAAGTTTTTAAAAAATAAATTTAGTAATTGGGATATTTTCTTCTCAAATTGAGAATAATCAATTTGTTTAAAACTATACAATAAAAGTTTTAATTTCTTCAATATTTTAATTCAATTTTAGAATTTAATTTCAAATAGGAATATTTTAAAGTAGTTAAAACATTTCTCAAATATTTTTCAACTATTATTGTGTATCCACAATTTTAATTATCAAAAAGAAGCCACGACATAGAAATAAAAAATTTGTCTCTTTGTAAACTAAACATAACTTTTTTATTACTGTGAAGAATTTTCATTGGCTATAGTTTGCATTATATATTCTTAACATAAATGAATGTGTTGCTTTCTAATTTGTAAATTGGCATTAAAAAAGTATTTTAAGTGCGCTCTGACCAATATTTTTAGGGCACATATTCAAAGTTTTTTATATACGTGGCTCTGAAACTTTTGCATAAAAGGAGGAATTTTTTTGAAATTCTATCTATACCCAGTCATACCTACATCAAGAATAAAGTAAAAATGAGATGCAATTTTTATTTTCTTCTCTACCTGAGTGTCAATTCATTGATTCTTTTGGTACATTGCAAAAGTATTCCAAACAATAATGCAGTTTCTGACGCGTATACTACTGTCAAAAATAAAAATGAAAACTATGAAATATCTGTTAAGCAAGAGAATGTGAATGAAGCGAAAAATTTATCAAGACAACTAATTCAATTACATCAAAATAAGGTAAATTACAAATAAATAATAATGTACTTTTTGTTAAAAAGTCATATACGTTTTTAACTTTTTAAAAACTGTTTAAATTATTTTTATAAATTTATGAAATTATATCAAAAAGAAGTTGACTTCTGTGCATATTTAAAGATATTTGAATTGTTATAGTACGTTATAACCCTTGCTTGCCTGAGCTGGGTCCCTCGGACCCAGGCAACTTTTTTTTCATGTACTTTAACATATTAGCTTGAAAATCGTTAATCGGGGATATTCGGGGTCGCTGATTACGAATCCGGTGTCCGTTTTTCAAAATTCAAAATGGCGGATATATTTTTTAAATTTGACGGTTTTGCTTAAAAGTCGTTCTTCAGGGATTTCAAGGTTGCTGATTACAAATCTGAAATTTAAAATTTTCAAAAACTCACAGCGAATTCGTAATCAGCGACCCCGAAAACCCCCGAGTAACGATTTTCAAGCGAATCCGAACGATTTTTTAAAATTTTGTCCGACATATTGGATCCGCTATTTTTAATTTTGAAAAATGGACACCGAAATCTTAATCATGCGCGTTCCACACTTAAACCTTTTGGAGATACAACACGACGTGACGTGCCCCCTCCAGTGACTCTGCGCGTAGGCGAAGTGAGTGTTTCTCAGTTAAATGCTTCTCGCTTTAAATCATTTTTAATATAATGAATAAATTATTATTCTTATAACAACAATTAAATCATATGTTAAATTTAATAGATTTAATATGTTTCAGAAAATTTTGTGAATATTTAATTCAATTAAATTTGACATTTAATCAAGTATTAATTGATAAATTTTTTTAATGGAATTAATTATTTTTATTTAAAAGAAAATTTGTTTTAATTTATTGTTAATAATGAATTTTCTTTTTTAAACATGTATTTTTTATAAATTAATTTTATATATATTGTTGTCGCAGTAAGAAACAATTAATAATTTCAATTTCAATTTCAATTTATTAACGGGACATGCCCTTTCGTACAAAAGTACTCCTAAATTCTAATAGTTACGTAAGTAACAATACAAAATATAAAATATTAACTAAATCTAGGTAGGCGCTATAATGGTTAAAGTTCAGTATAAGTTTGTACAGTAAAGAATAACATAAATCAAATCAAAGGAGAAGATTAATTTTGATAAATTGAATCTGCTTTACCATTATATCAATTAATTTTAAAAATAATTGTTTTTGTTCAATAATACTGATTTTCTCTAAATCACAATGTCTACATTCCTTAAATCACTTTCATAGATAGAAATAAAATAAGTTAATAAAATAAATAAAATAATATTATTTTTGTGCGTTGGTTACTCAACTGAGAACAAACTCTACTTTATTTATTTAACAAGCAAAGTACAAAAACTTGGAGATAATCAATCCTTCCAAAGCTTCACTGAGTCTTTTTGGAAGACAATTTACTAACCGTGCTATAACTTTGAGTAGCGACTAATTAATCTGACCACACCTTCTTATGCATTAGTTTTAAAGGACTGTGTAATAGTCCCCACTCTTTACAATACACACTCATACTTCATACTGTCGACACCTCCCCCCTTTAAACTATCGATGCTTTTCGAATTAACATTTATTTAAAAATTCGATGCAGGTTTCCTTCTAGGAGGTTTCGAATGTAATTCAAAATTTAATCCTGGTAGATTTTTCTCAGTAGCTACAAGCTGCGTTGGACCTGTATTGTTAAAACTACAATTTGTATAACAGTTACCAATACAATATCTTATTAAATTTAAAATACACTGTATAATTCCCGTTTTAAACATTATATAGAAGATTATAATTACAATACTTGCATATCCTATGTACTCTAAATACGTCAAAGACTTTTCTGTCCAACTCTTAAATCTTTCATGTGTCTTTAATTTATCTAGCATCGCTTCGGTATCGTCCATACTAATTTTCGCTTCTTTTATTCTATCTAAATTAAGAAATCTTAAGAAATTCTTGGTAATTTATCATTAATTAATTTTAAATCGTCTTTCTCAAAATCTAATTCTATTGTGATTGTATCCTCAAAGTATCTACTTATATTTTTCATCGGTTTATTAAGATCTAGCTTTATTTTATTCATATATAGCTTACATCTATTCCCTGTTATTAGATAAGTACCCAATTTTTTACCATTATAATTATTATTTTTGCATACTATATCTATAACTGTTTCTTTTACAAATATACATATATAACCTGTTTCTGTTTTCATAAATGTTTCATCCCTGAGTAGTAATGGAGATTTTAGACAATTTCTGTTAGACATTTTTATTAAATCCGCGTCACAATTTTCTGTTTGATATATTAAATAATTCGGTTGATTTCTCTTACAAATTTTATAGTCTTCTATATTAGGGTAACGGCACCAGTGAAGGAACTGACACCAGTGAAAGAACAAATTTCATGTTTTGCATTCTAATTAGTGTAATAAGCAATTTGGTATTATAAATTATATATTTTTATGTTCCTTATTTAATTTACGTCTTTAGTATCTAAGATACCTAGAGAGTTAACACGTAAATTTTATAAAAAAAATTTTTTAAAATGTTGTGTTGCAAATTTATCTTCAACAATAAGAACTCTTCTCTGACACGTTACTTCTTTTTTCACATTTAACTAATTTAAACTGCCTTAAATCGTCGGTCTTCTTTAAACTAAATTTATCTTGTGTATTAGAAATACTTCTTTTCATTTAAAAGCTAATAAAATATTAATTTGCCATAAGAAAAGCAAATACCGTCATTGGGATTTTTTTTTTTTATTTACTAGTGAAAGAACAGAAATGTTTTTTCACTGGTTCCAATGCAATCCAATGAAGGAACACCTTTAACGAATAGTCTGAAGTCAAACAAAAAAATGAAAAAATAAAAATCAAATAGGTTAACACTGTTAGGTTACAATAATATTGTCAAAATAAATTGCAACTAGATGATTGATTGTAGGTTATAAATGCATTTTCAATTAAAAATAAGATTCTGCAAACTTAGTTAAAAAATATTCATAATTATCATTAATTTACCATTATTTTAGTATATTACAAACATTTTATTACTTTATCTTTGTTTTAATATATTTTTTAAATATATTTTAAATATATATTTCACATTGTTCTTTCACTGGATGCAGAAAATTATTTCATTAGACAATTTGTTCTTTCACTGGTGAAATAGGTATGTTTTACTTATTAATTAAAATTTTAATTAACATCTTATATTTATGAAAATTAAATATGACCTTCGCATTCTACACTTAATTAGCTATCGAAAAAAAATTGGTAAAAAAATTTTCAATAACTGCATTCAAAAATAATAAATGATAAAAGTATGCATTTCCTTAAATGTTCTTTCACTGGTGCCGTTACCCTACTACATTTTTCTAAATCTGTCTTGTCAATAGGTACGTAGGGGTCAGTGTTGCCAAGTTAGTGGTTTTCCCACTAAATTTAGTAAGATTTTGGTCCTTCAGTAACATTTTTAGTGAGAGAAATATTTTAGTAGGAAATTTAGTATCTTTTTTTTTCTTTCGTGGTTTTTTTAGTGTTTTTACCTAAATGTCATTTTTTCTACGTAAATTGTATCTGAAGTATTAAAAGTGTGGTCACTAAGTTTAAACTATTCAAGTGAATTTGATTGGTTATACTGATGGAGATTCAGCATATGTTCAGACTGGCCCAATCAAAATTAGTCACACAGTTCTATAAGGAAGGATGCTCTTCTACGTGCCAAGTCCTGCACTGCTGTTTAGTACAGTTTATTTGTGAAGCTTATTTTATTAATGCAATGTCTATTCCATGTTCTTAAGTTCATAAATTTTATAAATAAATTTTAACTGGAATTAATATTTAAATAAATGAAATTCCAAAAAAATGTCTATCATTATTGTTATATATTTATTACATTGAATTATATTAAATTTTATTAAACGATTCTCTAAGTTTAAATAACTTTTGCATAATTAGTGTCAAAAATTTTAAATTTTGCGTTGAGTTAAAGATTTTTACGTTTTCTATTTATTTATTTTTATTTTTCTAGTGAAAATTAGGGAAAATATTTTTAGTGAAAAAAATTTACTTTTAGTGGAAAATATCTAGCGATCTAGGGGAAAAGCGACATAGGCATCTGACAACACTGGTAGGGGTAAACCGTACAGTGATTACCAGTACCTATAAGCAAAAAGGGGATATATTTATACAAATTACAAATGTTTAATTATCGAAATGAGAAATGAAACCATTTGTAAAGGAATTAAAATATTTCATTAATCTGAAAATAATAATGAATTGTTTATTTAATATTAGTATAAATTTAAAAAAAATAAAAAAATTTTCACATGACAGAAAAAATAAATATAATTTGAAATTAATAAAGAAGAAGTAATTTTTAAAATAATTTTCTTTTATTAACAATAATAAGATTCATTAAATATGACTTTTAAGTGTAAATAATACTATTAACCTAAAAAATTGGGAAAATTGTCGAATCTGACTCAATTGTAAAAATAAAAATTCTTTTTGGCTATTTTGTTTTAATATAATGATTACATGATTTTGAAGTTTTTTATTGCTTAAAGAAGCATATACGAAACACCTTTGTTTACCTTCGGCATTTTTTCGATAGCCTAAAATCATACTTCATATTAAAAAATTGTTAATAAAATATTACAAATCATTCTAATACATGCTGCGGCTCTAATTACATCTTTATTTTAAAAAATTAATTCACCAAATATGAAAAAACGTCCAAAAATTAAAAATACTTACCTCAAAAAAGTCTTGAAAATAAACGGTTAATCACTGAAAAATGACATAATAATCAAAAAGTAAACATTGCCCGGGGAGGGCAATGACTGTTATTTGTTATTAATTGCAAGATAGTAGTTGTTCTCTATAATTTTCGGTAAATCGAGTCAAATTACGTTAAAACAAATTTTTTTACTTATTATTAAACCTATTTTCATGCAAATTGACAACTAAATTGACAAAATTTCAAAGAGCTAAGAACACTGTTCTCGAAAAGCGCTATTATTTTCATAATAGTGAGTCGAAGAATAAAAATCTTTTTACACTATTAGCAGAATATTCTGTAGAATTTATATAAATAAATAAAACAAAATATTATATGTAAATTTCGTTATTATTTCTGTTTGTAATGTAATGGTGGCAATCACTGTGAGGGGGGCAACAACTGTACCGCTTACCCCTATTCAGTTTTCGTTTGCAAAATATATTCGTGGTTTGGTAAAAACACCATAGCTTGACCATTAATTATTCGTTCTGGAATTGGTAAACTTCTTACTATTGTCATTTCTTTTTCATCTAAAATCGGATTTTTAATTATGTATACTAAGTGATGATTTTTTATAATTGTAGTAATTTCACTAATGTCTATAATATGTTGTCGTTATAAGAATAATAATTTACTTTTTATATTAACGATGATTTAAAGCGAGAAGCATTTAACTGAGAAACACTCACTTCCCCTATGCGCAGAGTGACTTAAGGGGGCACGTCGCGTCGTGACGGATCTCCAAAAGGTTTAAGTGTGGAACGCGCATCAGCAACCCTGAAAACCCCGAGTAACGATTTTGAAGCGAATCTGAACGTTTTTTTTTATTCGTCGGCCATATTTGATCCGCCATTTTGAATTTTCTAAATCTGGCGTCAGATTAGTAATCAGTGACCCCAACAACTTAAGAATACCCAGTAATACTCAAATTAATTTAGTTATTTCTTTTATACTGTACACTTAAGTTCGCCCTGTCGAAAAAGGTGTGACGACACGACTTTTTATGGGCTATTTATATACCCTAGAGTGTCAAAAGATTAAATATTTTTTGCAATTATATTTGCAAAATATTACAATTATAATTTAGAATAAAAATATTTAATATCCTGATACTAAATCTTTTTTTTAATGAAATTTAAGCAGATGGGTCCCTCGGACACTGCTCAGGTACTCACGTTCAAACATAAAGTCAAGCACGTGAGGGTTAATAATAATATTATTGTTTTGGTGTTGAATGTGACAATTTATTTTTAGGATCAACAAGACATTGCTAAACTAATATTGAAAGATGGTGAAAATATTGAAATGATACTAGATTCTATTGTTGAAATATTTTACGAAAAATTTAAAGAAGCATGCTGTTTTGAAATAAGTATAAATAAAGGAGATAATGAAAATAAACAATTATTGATTAATATTCTCGATCAATCTCTTTTTCTTTATAATAAAAAAATCAATGGGGAAAAAGAGAATGTCAATTATCAATATTTTTTAAGTGAAGTTAATAATTTTAAAAGTAACGTCTCATTTGATTGTCCTTTAGAAGAGAATAAATGTATGTATAACAATGAAAATTTTAACTCTACAAAACGTTTATTGGGATTTGTTATATTAATTCGTTATATGATTCTCGAGTCTATTAATAATTTAAATTCACAGCAACAAAATGCTAATGGAATAAATTTAAATTTGATTAAAGAAACAGTGAATAAAGTAATTAATATCCTCAACCATGTTAGGAAAGAACAAAACTGGTCTTCGACTTTCTTGAACGAGATTAATAAAAAATTGAGAACTATAATTGAGAAGGTATAAACTTTTTGATTTTTTAAATATGAGGCAAAATTTCTAAAGTGTACCAATTCAAAAAAAAAAAAATTTCATAGAACGGACTGTAATTTGCATGACATTTAGTACTATGCATAAGTACTTTACTCACAAATTATTATTCATTTTTATTAAAAACTGTAGAGGGGGAAGAGATTTAAAATTTTGGTCAAATGTGAACAGTGAATTGTTTAAAAAATGATAACTATATTGTATAAATGGATAAAAAAAATTTGACCTATATGTTTTCGAAAGGTTTTTTTCTGCTCTCTCGAATGGTGCATTTTTTTTTTTTTTTTGAATTCAAAGTTTACCACTTTTTTGAAAATCAATACTATTTTTGACTTCTTCGGGTGAAGTTCCGAAAGCGTCTCCCATCCGATTTTAATAAAACTTGGTATACTAATGTATTTTTGTGCCCTGATTACAAAAATAATAGTGAAAATTGGCGCAAATTTGATAATCATGGTAAAAACCATAAAAAAACACCATAAAATCATGGTTTTTTTGAGATTATCTCGTAAAAAACGCAAAATTATAAAAAATGTTTTAAATAAAAGTTGTAGGTCTAAAAAAACACATTTTCTGTTCTATGAATTTTTTACCAAAAGTGGTTATTTTTCGAGAAAAATCCAAAAACCAGAAAACACCAGGAAAAATGACGGAAAAAACAGTGCACATCATAACTAGAGAAAAATTTAGTACTTGTAAGTATACACGGAAAAAACAAACTAACTATTTTAGCACCAAACTGCTTTATCCTTTAACAGGAAACCTCATGGGATCCTGTGTTATTGCTTTTACAGAGACATAAGATCATGCGCTTGCTCTCACGCAAGTTCATCCCAGGAACCTTTTCATACAGGATCTTATGTGTGAACCTGTATGGGAACCCACATAAGAACTCACAAGAGATCCTGGATGGGATCCCATATGGGATCGTTCACATATTACGTCACACGCTTAGGGGGGGGGAGGGGTCTGTTGAATGTGTGACGACCTGTAGAAAAAATGGCGCTAATGTATAGAATAGTGTGTGACGTGGGGGAGGGGGGGTTAAAAAATAATGAAAAATAGCGTGACGTAATATGTGAACGATCCCTATGTGTTCTCACATAGGAATTTTTAACAGGGTATAGGCCAAAACGCAGGTTGCAAGAATTTATCCGCACCAAAAAGGAAGAAGCTCTTGCTATTTTAGGTAGACTATATGTCGTACTTCGCGGGCATCAATTTTATGCTTTTAAAGTATGTCACTATTACTATAAGAGTATAACCATTACACATATTTAGTATGGACTTACTTTAAACTAAAAAAGCATTATTTCATACTTTAATAGATAAACGAAATTATATACTATTAAAGGATAAAGCAGTTTGGTGCTAAAATAGTTAGTTTATTTTTTCCGTGTACTAACGTATTTTGGTGCCCTGATTTCGAAAATGATAGTGAAAATTGGTGCAAAATTGATTGTCATGGTGAAAACCATAAAAAAACACCACAAAATCATGGTTTTTTTGCAATTAACTCGTAAAAAACACAAAATTTCGAAAAACGTTTTAAGGGGTTAGTACCACATCCCACTGACTTTTCTTAAATATTTTTTTTTATTGCAAAATTTATTTTATTTACATCAAACTTTTTATACCTAAAAAAGGGATTTTAAACTATTAAAAAAAATTTATTCTTTTATTTATTATGGATTATCTTGCTGTCATAATCGCCTGAAAATACTCCTACTTGTGATTGGCGGACACGATATCTCCAATTCAGGTCATCGAAAAATAAAATTTTTGATATTTTCTTGAAAAGTAAGCTCGTCGCTATCGTCGGAACTACAATCAACTATTTTCGATGAAAAAAAAACAAAATGGTAGACTTTTTTCATTTTTGACCTTATTTTTTCAACTTAAATTGTTTAAAAAAATTTTTAAATAATAATGAAAAATTATGACTCTAGTTTCGACGATAGCGGTATATGTGTAGAATAAGCCATAAAATTCTGAGCTTAATCGGTGCAATAGTTTTTTTTATGATGTCCGCCAGATCAAAAGACATTGTTTTCAGAAAAAGCGAATTTAGGAAAACATGTCCTTTTTCAAAAAAATACCCCCTTACGCGACAGGATATATTATATATATATATGGGCAATTCCACATAAAATTTATCTATTTCCTTTTGAATTCGTCTAAATATACCTATATTTTTCTTATTCTTTGTAGAAAAAAAGGTTTACGTATTTTTTTTATACTTTTATAAATGCTCAAATTTTCGAGTTATGAATTTTTAAAAATCTGATTTTTTCAAGTTCTTTTGAAATGCACCTAATTTCAATGACATGTAACTCTAAAAGTATTGAATTTAGGCATTATGACCAAGATACAAAAAAGTTTCAGTTTTTTATCGACTTTCAAAATATGTTAACGAAAAAAAAATTTGAATTTGTTTATTAAAAACAGCGATTTTTTATAAACAAATAAAATTTTTTTAAATTTAGGCGTGATTTTTTTTTATTTTTACACACATGAAAATAGGAAGAAAATTTTGTAATAAGTTTTGGAGTGGGCATGATGATCCTTTTGTTTATATAATTTGTTTTAAAAAAAAGTTTACTTTTTTTTCGTTTTCTTTTTTTATTTTTTAAAATGAAAAGTGTTTTTGACACTAGGATCTACTAGTAAACTCATAGAAAACTAAATTAAAATACATTTTATTTTGAAAAATAAAAAAAAACCAAAAAGAAGAAAAATTTTTTTTTGAAACAAATTATATAAACAAAAGGATCATCATATCATGCTCACTCCAAAACATATTGCAAAATTTTCTTCATATTTTCATGAGTATAAAAATAAAAAAAAATTACTCCTGAATTTAAAAAAATCGCTGTTTTTTATAAACAAATTCAATTTTTTTTTCGTTAACATATTTTGAAAGTCGATGAAAAATTGAAACTTCTTTGTATCTTGGTCATAATTCCTAAATTCAATACTTTTAGAGTTACATGTCATTGAAATTAGGTGTATTTCAAAAGAACTTGAAAAAATCAGATTTTTAAAAATTAATAACTCGAAAATTTGAGCATTTATACAAATATAAAAAAAATATGTAAACCTTTTTTTCTACAAAGAATAAGAAAAATATAATATATTTAGACGAATTTAAAAGGTAATAGATAAATCTCACGTGGAATTGCCCATATAAAAGCATACATTGTACTCGCGCAGAGTACGCTACATGAGCGCGTGATTGTTGCATTGTACCCCGTTTTTCGATATGTTACCGAAGTTTACAACCAAAATAATAGTTTCCATAGCATTTCTACATATATCTATTACAAGAATATGCAGTTTTGAGAAAATCGATTTTTTGGAAAAAAGATGTGGTACTTACCCCTTAAATAAAAGTTGTAGGTCTCAAAAAACACACATTTCATGTCCTATACATTTTTTATCAAAAAACATTATTTTTCGAGAAAAATCCAAAAAACCATAAAACACCATGAAAACTAATACAAATATACCAATCACAGTCATTGTATCCGACCCTCACAGAAAAAACCTGAACTCAAAATGATAGCGTATGCTACTCATTTTGATATGCAGCAAAAATAAGTCAGATTGGTGGCGCCACTGTCTATGTCGTTTAGTATTGACTCATTTTTGCTGCATATAAAAATGGGACTAAGTTTTTTCTGTGCTCCCCCATCATTACGCGGCTGAAGTTAGCGTACACCGAATTCCGTAAACCGCTGCTAATTATCCCACCCGAATTTGTCCACAAAATACTCTTGCCATGTCTAACCCCCCCCCGCTAAGGTTTCTTTAAAATACATAAAAACAGTACTTTAAGCATAATCAAATTGCGTGAACTGCTGCTGTGGATCCCACCCAACTTTGTCCGCAAAATACTTTCGGCCACCTCTGCCCCCCCGCCTAAGTTTCTTTAATCATAGTTAGGGGAAGGTGGGGGAATTGGAGCCTCTTAAGGACAATGATTAAAAAACCAACTTATTGTTATAATAAAATATTGTTATGGTCATTTTTTACTCCTTTTGTTATTTATCTTTAATTATAATTAATTAGAAATTAAGAACAAAAAAGTAAGTTTTCAAAAAAATGCGTTGCAGCTTAATTTAATGCCTTTTAATTTTCTGTGAATGTGATTGTTTGTTTTCGTATGACATACAGGAAGATTGTTCAAGTTTTCCGAGTTATTTCCACGAAATTCAAAGGCTCTGTGTAATTGAATTTAAAAACCTCCCATTACCCCACCTTCCCCTATATACTTTCAAGTACCAAAGTTTTCTGTAATTATTATTTTTCCTGGTGTTTTATGGTTTTTTCTCGAAAAATAACCAGTTTTGGTAAAAAAAAGCACATAGAACATAAAATGTGTGTTTTTCTGAGACCTACAACTTTTATTTAAAAAATTTTTCAAAATTTCGCGTTTTTTACGAGATAATTACAAAAAGCCATGATTTTATGGTGTATTTTATGGGTTTTACCATGATAATCAAATTTGCTCCAATTTTCACTATCATTTTCGTAATCAGGACACAAAAATACGTTAGTATACCAAGTTTCATTAAAATCGGAGGGGAGACGCTTTCGGAACGATGTAAATATATATATATATATATAATACAATATCAACCATTACGCTAGGACGATCGTTTTTAAGCGTGTCAGACCGGTCAAAAGATGTCAAATTTTTAAACTCAAAATTTTAATTTTTATAATGTGAGACGGAACAATTTGTTATTAAGAGAAAATATAATAAAATAAGAATAAATGATCAAAGTTAAAATTATTCCTCACCCAGCGCGACCGGGTTCAGAGTTGCTGGAGCTCTATTTGACGATATAAAATAAAATAATAATTTTAGATGTACGCGGACGCTAGTTAATTTATTAATTAAAATCAACAAAAGACTTAGATCACAGGGAGGGAAGTTGGTGAACCCAAATATAAAAATAAAATATTAGGAGACTTCCAGGAATATAAAATTTATTATAAAAGATCAAATGAAATACATTAACCACTTACTTGTCTGATCAATAATGATCAAATATCGACTCTTTTCCTAAATTTCGTTCAAACAATACGATAATAATTATGGATAACGTCGATCCTCAAGTTCTATACAGTTTTAATATTTAATTGATCCAATAATTCAATATAATTTGATATAATACACACAAGGAGATATACTCCCAACATACAATAAGACGTACGGACAAAGAGTAAGGTTATTGACCTTTTTCCCTAACCCTTATCCTAAGATATTTGATCATTTATTTCTCAAAATAATGTCAAAAAATATTTTCCCGTCACAAATGCATTACCTTATATAAAATAAAACAAGGAGGGGGTCCTTTATGTTTATTTCATAAACATTATGCTTCCTCATTCTGTGAAGCAAAAAATTCGCTTCCTCGTGAAGGAAGCAATGAATTTGTCCAATTCAATTGATTGATTTAAAAAATTTCGAGTTAAAAATGTTTTAAATTAATTAAATTTTTTGAAAAATAAAGAAAATTTTAATTAATTTTGAGTGTAACATAAACTTTATATATACGAATCGATTCATTTTAATGCAAGGAATACAATTATTTTATTCATCAACTTGAATTTTAAAAAAACACAAAATTTTTTAGCTAAAATATGAATTTTCGATTTTTCAATTTTTATTAATTCTCAAATTTTCAATCAAATCTATACTTTATATATACCAACCAATTCGTTTCAATGCAGGAAATAAAATTATTTCATATATAAACATGAATTTAAATAAACACATCATTTTTTAGCTAAAATGAGAATTTTTGATTTTTTAACTTCCATTAATTCTTTAAATTTCAATCAAATCTATATTTTATATATATCAATTGATTCATCTTGACATAAAGAAGACGATTATATTATATATTACCTTAAATTTTTCGATTTAAAAATTTTTTCAATTAATAAAAAATTTTTGGAAAAAAGACGATAAAATTTTTTTTTTTGGGGTATTTTTAAAAATCCTCTCGTCATTTTTGAGAGATTAATGTGTTAAATAAGCCTACCAAATTTTATCCAAATCCATTAAAACCTGTTAAAGATATCGTGTTCACAAAAACGATCCACACACACATACACACACACACACACACACATACATACATCCGGACAATTGATCAGGATCTCATATAACATGTTTCTATATAGAGGAAAATTTGTTTTCACCATTTTTAAAAAGTTTATAAACGAAAGGACTACATAGCTTCCTCCACGAGGAAGCAAAATCGCAACTTTTTTCCTAACGAATTTTTCTTCTAAGTCTAATATTTTCCTTAATAAATGAAAAAACTAGAAAACTTTTCCTTTTAAATTTAAATAATTTTTAAAACATAAATCATCGTATCTCCTATAGGGTCATTTGGGGAAAATGTAAACAAGGGGTAAATGTAAACAGCAGATATTGCAGCTTAATTTACAGATTTAAAATTAAGTTCGACCCCAATATTTTAACCTCAGCTCACCTGCAACAGGTTCTGAGTATTGCCAATTTTTTTTTTCGACAATTGTCAAAGCCATACTCCAATTTGTCGCTTAATGCATGAAGGATTGAAAATCAAAGATTTACTGCTTCAGTGTTTTGTCTCGCATTTGAATAAAAATGAACTAAAAATTCAAACTAAAATTTCTAATTATTCTTTATGAATCGCTTAACAAAAGCTGACTTTGATTTTTTAATTTCGTCAATTCAGTTAATAGATAATTAAGTGTTTACATTTACCCCGAGAATTCGAAAACTTGGGGTAAATGTAAACAGAATTTCTGCTGCATTTTAAAAGAAAATAATTGAATAAATTTGCTTCTATTTCACAATTACATTATTTTGGCCCTGTAAAATTACATAAAAACGAAATTGGATCTTCTTTTATATCTCCTTCGTGTTAGTCAGTTGCAGGTATAGACCTGCATAGTATTGCATAGTGCATTTACGTGTTTAAAATATAGGAAAGCGATTCTTCACGATTGGTGAATAAAACTCAGGTACGTAGGAATCCTAGAATAAGAGTGAATGATTGATTGGTTGATTGATTGATTGATAGATTGATTGATGGATTGATTGATAGATTGATTAATGGATTGATTGATGGATTGATTGATGGATTAATTAGTTGATTGAGTGGGTGATTGGTGGATTGCTTGATTGATTGACTGATTGATTGGTGGATTGATTGTATGATTGGTTGATTGAGTGATTGATTGGTGGATAGATTGGTTGCTTGGATGATTGATTTATAGATCGCCATTTTGAAAATTTTAAATTTGTCTTCAAATTCGTATTCAGTGACCTCAAAAACCCCCGAGTAGCGAGATTCAAGCAAATTTGATCAATTTTTAACAATATTTTTATGTTTGTCCGCCATTTTGGATCCGCTTTTTTGAAATTTAAAAATTCGATTTTAGAATCTTATTCAGCAACCTTAAAAACTTATTTTCACCAAGTTGAATGAAAATCTATTAAAATTTATTGAAGTTATTCAAGTTTTTACATTACTAGTTTTGTTATAGTAATGATTGCTTATTTTATATGTTGCATATCAATCAATTGGTTCAACTATTTTACATCTACCAAGAATTTTTTTTCAGTTTTTACATCCCTTTACACAGTAGTATACTTGGGATAACTTTTTTCTTAAACCTCTTTAAACTACAGGGGTGTTTACATTTACTGTTTTCACAAAACAGCTTCGACGAATGGGGCTGAAATTCATTATTCGATGGTTTTTGAGGTAGCTGATTACGAATCAGAAGTTAGTTTTTAAAAATTCAAAATGGCGGATCCATTATGGCGGTCGTTAATCTAAAAAAATTAATGGATTTTAATAAAACATCGTATCTAGGGGTTTTCGAGGTCGCTAAATACGAATCTGAATTTTTTTTTCAAAAATTTAAATCTTCACAATTGCAAAATCTTTAGCACTTCATTTTTTTATTATCTAGTCACGCGTAATTAAAAATTATTACTGCATTTAAAATCTATGACTGAATTATTCGCATCAACATAGGCAAAAACCCCGGAGTAAGAATTATTATTAGTCGAATCCGACCAATTTTTAAAAAATATTCGGCCTTATTGGATTAACCATTTTGAATTTTTGAAAACTAACTCCAGATTCGTAATCAGAGACCCCAAAAACCCCCAGACACAGAGTTTCATCAAGTTCCATTGAATTTTGTAATTTAATGTCCGCCATATTGGATCCGCCATTTTGAATTTTTTCAATCTGCCTTCAGATTCATAATCAGCGATCTAAAATACTATTAAGCATACAGTTGTGTAACCATTAAACGAACTAATTTTCAACAAAGAGTTTCGTCTAGTCAATTTCAAGATGAAAATCTCCATGTTCGCGAGCTTTAACTATGAAAATATCGAAAAGGGGCAAGAAGTGTATGTCATATCTGAAAAAGGACACATTAGTGAACATTTTCTCATAAACAACTTTTTAAGGCTAGATCCTAGTAAGGCAGCACCCCCTATATCAAAACTAAAATTTTGGAAAATTATTTTCAGTATTTACTTGAAAGTTTAAATTTTTAACAGTATCCAAACAACGATTTTTATCGCTATCTACGTTTTTGTTTAAATTAGTTAATAATACTATTGACTGTTTAAAATTACTATTTATAATTAATTTCAGAGTTCCTCTTGAATTTTGTAGATACTATCAACCCTTTGCGATACCAATGCCCAACTCATCTATAGGGTTTCGAGCTCCAATTTACAACATGTGTAATGCCATAAACTTAATGTGTGTCCATTGCAATGTAGATTTGAATTTTTTATATATATATATATCCTTATCTTCCTATAAGGACGCAGTCATAAAATAAATTTTATCGACAAGATAGATTGAGAAAATTAACATAAAACAATGCTTTCTTTTTTTCCTTTTTAAGTTATTTTTATATTCTATTATATTATGTTTTACTTAATTTTTGTGTTTCACCGACCTAAGTTTATAATAATCGCAACATTTCACTAATTTATATCTTCGATACCGATATAGAGGCTAGCTACACCGAGAGCCAATCAGGAGGGTTAAATTTAATCCTCCGGCGTACTAAACAAGTGGGCCATTAAGGGGTAAAAAAAGAAAAAAGGGTACTTTTTTAAAGAAAAGTCAAATATATTCTTGATTTTCAAAAAGGGTAAATTTTGAATTTGTACACTACAGGAATTTTGACACATGGTTGTTTTTAATGGGTGGGCTATTCACTGAGATCCGAAAGATTCACTGAAAATTAGACGACAACAATTCAATAAAGAGATGAAAAAGCGCAACTAACAGCAAGAGATTTTAATTATATAAATTTTTAATCTTTTTAGAAGATAAGCTTCACTTTATTCGATATTAGTAGAAAAAAAAATTGCAGACATAAAGCATAAATATTTTAAACATTTGTAATTTTGGTAACAATACTAGTAAAGCTAACTTAAATAATGACAAATATATAATATAAATAAAGTTTAACCCGTTTTGTCCGAGACGTCCGTTATTCTCTATACATGTTTAAGCTAATCGTTGTTAATGTTAGCAAACTAAAATAAAATTGCATAGACCAGATCGTGGCGCTTTAGAGTAATAAATTACAAGCATATTCGTTGAATTAAAAAAACTGCGACATATTTTTAAGAAAATCATTGATTTTCTTCTCTGTTCAACCCTTAGCTTAGTGCAATTCGAACAACCCAAATAGAAAAGAAAATTTTTTCGTCTCTAAATCTTCTAGATTTCAGTCAATAGTCGTTCGTTTTTAACAAATACATATGGAAAAAATTAATACAACTTCTAAATTACAGGAGAGCAACACCAAATTTAATGACGTCGAAAAAGCGTATCAAAATTTAATTACAATCCTCAAAAAATACGCAAAAACAAACCAATTATATATAGATATTACTTATTGTTCTTTAAATTCGAATGATTATTTAACAATGAACCAAAATATTTCTAATTTATGGAGTAATGAAGTATTCAGTGACCTTACAAATTATATTCAAAAAAATTCTAACTTTTTAAATTCTGAATATGGAGATAGGTCTGATTTAAATATGGGAGAAATATTAACGATAATTGAAAATACAAAAAAATACTTTCAAAACACACTTAATAAATATCAAAATTCTTCTACTAAACAATTAACTAGAATTGCGAAAGATAGACGCAACCTTACTAAAAATATACGCAAATTTTTTTCTCTCCTTTTCAGAATAACAGAAGATATTAAAAACTTTATAGATGACATGTTAGAATTGATATGCTATAAAGACTTTACAAAATTAAATATAAATTATCAAATTAGCCATTTTAATATTTTATTGTTTGATATGCAGAGAATTCTTTCCAGTAACGATAATGACATTCAAAAGTCAAATAAAATACAAAAACTTTACAATCAGGTATAAAAAATTTAATATTAATAATATATTTGAATTATGTTTACTAATCATTTTTATTACCTTCTTCTGCAGTTGAAAAATGAGAATTCTGTAACTTTGAAGAAACATGTGTCAAATATTTTTATTGACTACTTAAGCCATATAAATTACATAACCCTCACATATAACCATAACTGTCCCGGTTCAAAGAATCCGATAATGACTTTTCAAGAAAAGAGTATTTCTAATTCTATTAAAGCTACATATCAAATTCAAAAAATCTTACAAGACAATATAAGTGAAGTGAAGATAAGACAGTATTACCAAAATAATGATATTCAATCTATAATAAATTCGAAAAACTACAATGTAGATAACTTAATACAAAATTGTCAAACACCAAATGGAACTTTACCAAAAAATAAAGAAATTGAAAATAATACCCAAGAAATGGACATTCTAAATAAGATTTATATCGAATATACAAATATGTTTTTTAACTTAAAATCTAAACTTTACAATCATCCATTTGACGACATTAATTTCAATGAATTCTTAACAAATTATTCTTCTACCATGAAGTCTATTGAAACAGTTTTACAAGCTCATTCACCAGATAATGGCAATAGTATAATAATAAAAAATTTAACTCAAATTTTAGGATACACTAGAAGTTTATCAATAACCTTCTTTGAGAAAGTAAATATCACACAAATTAAATAAATAACAAAATATTAATGAGTAAGAATTACTGAAACGTGACACCTAAAACTGAATAACATTTATTTTTTGATGTAATTTTATTTTTCTTGTGGTGCCGTAATTTTCCCCAAATCTCAAATGTCATAATATTCATTTGACATAAAACCAGTTGACATAACCAATATTTGTCATAATTTTTTTGGTCATAATTTTACTTTAGCATAAATTTTAATTGAGATACTAATTATTCAGCATAATTCGCATTTGACAGAATGTTTATTTAGTATAAGTTATATTCGGTATAACTTTCAATTGTCAAAATTTTTATTTGGCATAATATACATTTGTCATAATCTTTATTTGACATAATTTTCATTGATCATAATTTTAATTTGGCATAATTATCATTCATCATAAAATGTATTTGATATAATGTTCATTCGTCATAACTACTTTTTGACATAATATTTATTGGTAATAATTCTTAACTGGTATAACGCTAATTTAACATAATGACTATTGGACATAATGCTCATTTTTCATAATTCTTAATAATCATAACTGTCATTTGTAATAGTCACTGTTTGATATAATGTTTATTATTAATAATCAGCAATTGACATAACGCTTATTTAGTATAATGTGTATTTGACATAATGTTCATTTGTCATAATTTGCATTTCACAAAATGCTCATTTGTCATAACTCTTATTAGTCATAACTTTCATTTGTCATAATTTTTATTTGGCATAATTATCATTTAGTATAAAATATATTTGATATAATGTTTATTCGTCACATCGATTGTTTAATATAATTTTCATTTATAATAATTCTTAATTGGCATAAATTCAATTTAACATAATTGTTATTTGATATAATGTTAATTTGTCATAATTTACAATTCTCATAATACTCATTTGTCATAATTCTTATTAGTCATAACTGTTATTTGTCATAATTATTGATTGACATAATGTTAACTTTTTATAATAAGCACTTGACATAATGTTTATTTCGCATAATTTAAGTTTGACATAATGTTCATTAGACATAATTTTAATTTGACATAATGTTCATTGTTCATAATTTTTATTTGTCATAATTATCATGCAGTATAAAATGTACTTGATATAATGTTCATTTGTCATAACTATTTTATGACATAATGTTTATTTGTAATAATTTTTAATTGGTATAACGCTAAATTAGTATAATGTGTATTTGACATACTGTTCATTTGTCATAATTTTCATTTGACATAATTCCCATTTGTCATAACTTTATGTGTCAACGATTTTTTGCTGTATCTTCCCATCCTTGGTTTTTTAATTAGTAGTTTGTATATGTTGGTAAAGTAGATTAGGTGGCGCTGTCTAATATTTTTGAAATTAATTCTATCTTGCTTTTAAATATGAAAAATTACTTTTTTTTCCAAGTTACAATTTTAATATTGTACAATTCAATTACATTTTTTTAAAAATAATATGACAATTCATATTAATAATGATGACATTAAAAAATTGTACAATATTAAAATTGTAATTTTCATATTTAAAAGCAAGATAGAATTAATTTCAGAAATATTAGACAGCGCCACCTAATCTACTTTACCAACATATACAAACTACTAATTAAAAAACCAAGGATGGGAAGATACAGCAAAAAATCGTTGACACATAAAGTTATGACAAATGGGAATTATGTCAAATGAAAATTATGACAAATGAACAGTATGTCAAATACACATTATACTAATTTAGCGTTATACCAATTAAAAATTATTACAAATAAACATTATGTCATAAAATAGTTATGACAAATGAACATTATATCAAGTACATTTTATACTGCATGATAATTATGACAAATAAAAATTATGAACAATGAACATTATGTCAAATTAAAATTATGTCTAATGAACATTATGTCAAACTTAAATTATGCGAAATAAACATTATGTCAAGTGCTTATTATAAAAAGTTAACATTATGTCAATCAGTAATTATGACAAATAACAGTTATGACTAATAAGAATTATGACAAATGAGCATTATGAGAATTGTAAATTATGACAAATTAACATTATATCAAATAACAATTATGTTAAATTGAATTTATGCCAATTAAGAATTATTATAAATGAAAATTATATTAAACAATCGATGTGACGAATAAACATTATATCAAATATATTTTATACTAAATGATAATTATGCCAAATAAAAATTATGACAAATGAAAGTTATGACTAATAAGAATTATGACAAATGAGCATTTTGTGAAATGCAAATTATGACAAATGAATATTATGTCAAATACACATTATACTAAATAAGCGTTATGTCAATTGCTGATTATTAATAATAAACATTATATCAAACAGTGATTATTACAAATGACAGTTATGATTATTAAGAATTATGAAAAATGAGCATTATGTCCAATAGTCATTATGTTAAATTAGCGTTATACCAGTTAAGAATTATTACCAATAAATATTATGTCAAAAAGTAGTTATGACGAATGAACATTATATCAAATACATTTTATGATAAATGATAATTATGCCAAATTAAAATTATGATCAATGAAAATTATGTCAAATAAAGATTATGACAAATGTATATTATGCCAAATAAAAATTTTGACAATTGAAAGTTATACCGAATATAACTTATACTAAATAAACATTCTGTCAAATGCGAATTATGCTGAATAATTAGTATCTCAATTAAAATTTATGCTAAAGTAAAATTATGACCAAAAAAATTATGATAAATATTGGTTATGTCAACTGGTTTTATGTCAAATGAATATTATGACATTTGAGATTTGGGGAAAATTACGGCACCACATTGTTCAGAAGTGTATCAAGTGTAAATAGCTATTTTTTTAATCTTAAAATTTGATTGTTTTCTTGTTTTTTTACAATTTGTTTATAAATAAACAATTTTTTTTATATTAAAAAAATAAAAAAAAATATAATGATTCATAAGACAAGTAGAATGCCGTTTCGATCATTAAAATCGATTGATAAATTTAATTTAAATTAATTTTTTTTAAGAAGTGTCAAAAAAATTAAATTGTTGACAACATAAAATTTTTTGCAAAATCGTTTTAGGGAGTGATTGGGTGTATATAAAATACCATAAAAAAAATAATATTTCAAAAAAAATAAATTTTTTTAGTTTTAAGTGGCACGTTTCAGAAATTCTTACTCTAATAAAATTAATTTTATTTAAATATTTACAGGAAAGTGATACTAAGCCTGTATTAACTGACAATAAAAAAAAAAATCGTACATTAATGGATTGCAAACTTAAGGAATATTTCAAAATTGCAACTGATTTTTTCAAAACAATGAATAATAATTATAAATGCAATAATGTAAATATAAACAATAATTCAAAAATTGCTGAAGTAAATATTTCGAAATTAATTAATTTTATAACTGAAAGGATAAAAGTCTATTATTATCCTGACCCAAATTCTTACATAAATTTAAACTCCAATACAGTTAATAAGAGTGAAGAAATGTTAAAATTGAAACCAACAATATGTGGGCCACAAAATAAGAAAAATGAGCACACCATTAAATTACTCTGTTCTATTTTTAATGAATTATATCTCAATTTTCCTGACAAATTCAATGATGATGTTAGTTACAATAACTGCTATAAAAAAAGCGTTTATCAGGTGTTGAAATTAAATGAAAAAATTTTAAATTTTGATTTTTCAAATATTTCTACTAACAGAACATTATTAAACGATTTTTTGATATCAGAGAAAAATAAAATACATGAATGTGTTAAATTAAAACCAAAGGTAATATATACTAATTGGAAAATTACAATTTTTTAAATATTAAAAGAATAGTCCGATTATTGTTACATTTGAACCTTACTTGGGTTGGTGGTCACTTTTTCTGTAAAATATTTTCTAATCCTTTGTTTCTAAGAAAAAACAATTTTTAATGAAATCAGTTTTCAAAGAAAAATTTTTTCGAACAAGTTTTAATTTCTCAAAAAAATTTTTCTAACAAAAGTTCAATTTTTTAAAAATATTTTTAAATTTTTCCAAAAGTAGGATTAGCTCCCCTAGTATTATAATTTGCAGTCACTCTTTTTAAAAATTTATGTTATCGTTAACACTTCTAAGATAACTTATTGTTAGAATATCATCTGCAACATAATCATTATATCGAGACACAATAATATGAAGTCTTTGTTAATTTTAATTGTTGATTTTTGTTAATTTGAAATTTTTTTAAATTAAAATGACACAACTTATGAATTTTATGATTGCTTTTTTAAAATTTTTTCTGAGATCGAAAAGTACATAAAAAAACCAAACAATAAACTTTACTGATAAATTGAAATCCATAAATTTTTGTAGAATTTATATAGTTCTGAATGTAATAGCGACTTAAAAAGCATATTTAAAATGGTTGCAGTCATATTTACTGTTATTTTCAAATGCATATGACTTTTACAATAGTGTATAGATTTTAATTTATCAACACTGAAAAAAATTCCTAACACCCGTATACCAGGAATTGACTAATTTGCCTGGTTACGAGAGGAACCCACTAGGCAATCTTGGTCAAAATTGATTTCGACAATTATTTGGAATGACTAGGGAGGCTTATCAGAATAACCAGATATCTTAGTTACATTGGCTAGAATCTCTTTGACTAAATAAACTTTAGCAAAATTGACTATAGATACATGCGATATTAACCAAACACCTTAGTTAATATAACTAGGAAACAAGGGGTCAATTCTACTAAAATCGACTTTGACAATAATAACCAGGCTACATAACTGAATTAACTAGGATGCTTGGTTACGCTGACTAGATTTAATGTTGCTATGGTTAATAGTCATTAATGCAAAGCAAATTTTTTTCAGTGAATAGTGTTTTTGTTGGATTTTTCATGTATTTGCAATGCCAAAAGATTTTTTTAAACAAATCTTTTTAACTGTGTTTGTTAATGATGTTTAGAGCCCTTTTACAGTTAAGATGTTTATTTATTGGTTGACTTAACATAAATATAATAACAGTTTGAAAGAAATTCAACATAAAATTTTTTTAACCTTTTTTTGTAAATAATTCATATTTTTCATTCTTAGCTTTTATCCCTCTGAAAAATTTTCATTGGAATGGTGAGATTTTTTCCAATAAAACTGTATAAATATAAAAATGGGACATTGGGTTTGTGAGAAAATATGAAAAATAAGTCAAAGAATAGGTATTTGGGTTTTTGACCAAAAAATATAAATTTGCTTCCAATTAAAATTCTTTCGTTTATGCCCTATCTAGTGTATGTATAAAGAATTCCTGAAAATTTTAGCCTGATCCGTTCAGCGGTTTTGAAAAAATTGTAGTCACCGTAATGGTATAATAATAATAATAATAATAACCTTTAAAGTTTCAAGCGTATATACTCTTCTTTAAGAAGTCGCGGGTTAAAACAGTACCTTAGAAACGAAAGGGTTAATGAATAAAAATCAAAAAGAAACATGACTTTCTTTGTAATATAGTTTATATAAAATATTGAACTTTTTACAGATTGCAGATGAGTCAAAGCAGATTGCTCAAATTGTCAAAAATATAACACAAGAGTCGATTAAATTAAATTTGGAGTTTATAAATAATATTGCTTGCAATGTTTCTTACAACAATGTGACTATAAAAGAAAATTACATGGATGCAATAAAGTCGTTAATTAACGTGAATGTCAGTCTCGAAATATTAATTGAATCATTAAACGTCCAAAATGCTAATAAATCTAAAAATTTACTACAACAAGTCCAAGAAAAATATCAAAATCAAAAGAAAATTTTGAATCAATCTATACCCTGTAATGGAAGTAATACATATGTAAATTTTAGAAATGAAATGTTAAATATTTTATCAGTTTTTGGAAATAAAACAGAGGATATTGCTGACACTTTAAGCAGTAACATTATTAACTACAAAGAGGAAATAATACTAGATTTGCAAACAACAGTGTCAAATGTAAAACATTGCATAGAAATTTTAATTAAGCTTCCATATAATACTGATATATCACACGGCAAACCAAACATTCGCATATATTATTTATGCACTAAAAAGAATATTGAATGTGGGTTTAATTTTATAGATTATCATCGAACATCCAAGAAAGACGATGAATATGCTTTTCAACACTGTTACTATCGTGATGGCGATTCTACCAACAGTGAGTTAAAATGCAACAATTGTTATTGTAAGCAATGCAGGTTGTATAAATGTAATAGATCGATTTCACATGAATGTATATGAAAAGAAGCTTCTTCCCAATATACATTGGAATTTTCTATTTGAAACTAATAATGTGTTTCATTTTTTTTCATTTAATTTCATTAAATAAATTATTAGCGCAATTAAATTGACATGCTGTAAAATGTGTATTTCTTTTTAATGTAAGTGAATTCAGTCTGGCGAAAATTGAGGTTATGTTTATTTTATTATTATAATTATTTAAGGAAATAATTAATTTAATTATACTCTCTAAATCTGAATTAGTAAAAATGTTTACTAATTTAAATTAGTGAGTCACTTTTTGCTTTAGAATTAGTTAAATTTTACTAATTGTTAGTAAAAGTTACTAATAACATTTTTACTAATTCATATTTAGAGTGTAGATAATATTATTTGATTCATTTGAACATTGCAGTATCATCAGTAATTTAAAACTGTAAATGGGGTAAAATTCCTGTAGCGTACTAATATACTTTATAAACAAATAAAGTTATTCCAATTCTGGAGTTACCGATTTAAAGCCAACGTAATTCCGCATCCAACGAGCCTTAAATAAACTATTTTGGGTTAGTTGATTGTTAATAAACAATTGGCTAACATTGAAATTGTTCATAAAAAATCCTCTAATCCAAAATATTTCATATAGGGCTCGTTGCATGCGGAATTACGTTAGCTTTCAATTAGTAGCTCCTGAATTGCAATAACTTTATTTATTAGTAAAATATTTTATATTTTATTAACTATAATTAATTAATTAATATCTGGAAAATAACAAAAAAGGATATCTCAATATTTTTTATAGTGAAAATACACATGTATAATTTTGAAAAGAAATGTTTAAAAAAGACTGATTTTGAAAAAAAGTCAGAAAAATTTTGATTTTCAAAAAAATGGTCAAATTTTGAATTTTTTGAAATTTTTTTTGCACCATTCGAAAGAGTAGGGAAAAACCTTTTGAAAACATATGGGTCAAAATTTCTTTCATCTTTCTGTTTAAATGTTACAAGTCGTTAAAAATTCATTGTTTCAATTTTTCCTCCCTCTCCTACAGTTTTTAAAAAAACATTTCAATACTTCGTGGATAAAGTACTCATAGGACTAAACTATGTGCAAATTACAGCCCAATCCGATTAACCTAATCTTTAATTTGTTTTAAGATTAAGAAATCTATACAAAAGAGTCTTAACTCGATAAAAATAATAATCGAAAGGGTAGGTAGAGCAACTCTAATCATTAGATTCTTAGAAATTCGTAAATAGGTAAGATTTAATCAAAAGAGAACATTTTTGTAATACCCAGTAAAAAATAAAAGATACCAGAAATGCGATACCAGAACAAATCTGTGAGCATCTCGGATACGAGCACTTTTGGTATCCGAAATGATCTGAAGATTGTAAACGCACTGAAACGGACGACTTTTGTAGGGCTTTTAATCAAGAAAAAGCAATTATATGGATGCAGAAACAATGGAAAAGTAAATAAAAATAAGCACTAAATTATGTTTAATAATGTTTTAAATACTTTTGGATTGCTTTTAAAATTGAAAAATCAAAAAACCCGTGTTAAATTAATATCTAGTGTCGGTAAGGTAGAAAACAATATTTTTCGAATTGCATCGTAAAATTACCAACAGTACACTGTTTTCACAATGTTTTTAATGTGGAGGTTTGAATTGATAAGAATAATTGTTTTCTGTTTAAATGTTTAAAAAATTAAATTTTTTTTCATTTTTGTTACTAATTTAATTTACCATTTTGGTGATTTAAAAGGCTTTTCGGTCATCAAATCACCAAAATATACTTAACGGTCACTAACTTCAAATAAATTAATTTACCATTCTTTCTGCATCTATTGAATTGCTTTTTATTGATTAAAAGCCCTACAAAAGTCGTCCGATTCAGTGCGTTTACAAGCTTCAATCTGTTTCTTTCTCTAATAAGAAATTTAATTTCTTCCGTTATCCATGGAGATATCTTTTTACCCTGATATAAAATACCTCGTTATAATAATCATACTATGATTCGAAATAAAAGTAAAACATTTGATAAAATCATTATTAAAAAAGGCATTATGAGGTTTATAATCCACTCCAACCTGGGATAAAACTACAAACCGTATATAAAAATACATAAAATAAAAAAGGCAATTTTACTATTTGAGTCTATAAAGTGATTAATAGTTATGGAAATAAATTTATAATAAAATGTCTATTAATGGTATACTTACGTAGCGTTGGATTTTCCAAATTCAATGTAAAGTCAGAATTAAACGTAACATTGTATACAGGAGCATGTCTATCTTTCAATTCTGTGTATTCTTGCAATGCACAATCCTCATTTGTTTGACGGCATTCTAGTTTGAAACTGGTTTCTTCCCAAATTTCCATCAAATCATGAACTGTATTATTCAGTACATTTTGATCATTAACTGCAATCACAATCTGAAATATTTTACAAATTTAATATTCCTATTACTGACTTAATTCTTATAATAACGTGTATTTAAATTATTAATTCAACCTTCGAGTTTAAGCCGTAATTTACAGATTCTCCTATCAAATAGGCATTAACATCAACATTCTTAAACGTTTCTAAAACATAATCAGCCTCATTCTTTTCAACTTCAAGGAGCCAACCTATTTCTTCAGCAAATAGTATTTCTATTGATGATCCTAATTTATGAGTAATATTAATATTAACTCCAGAAATGCCAGCAAAACACATTTCTAAAATACATGTTATCAAACCTCCGTCACTTATATCATGTCCAGATAATATTTTTCGATCTGCAAATTTAAAAAAGTTTCATTTACTGACAGTTATAAAAAAACTGTAGTATTAAGATTAGGAACAAAACCCGAATTTAAATAATTAAAAAACTAATTTAAATTAGAATCTAACTCGGAAGGGAATTATAAATGTAATTTAATTCAAATTCAGAACCGGAAAGAAATAAACAGTAAAGACTAATTTTCTTACCATTTGTGTTTGATTAATTTATTGCTTCCTCATGGAGGAAGTATTGTTTTCGCGAAATTTTTCGAACTCATTTTTTTTACATATCTTTATGTTTTTTGACCTCAGGAATCCAAAAATGACATTTTTAGAAAATGTCATTCCGTATGTGTGTGTGTGTGTGTGTGTGTATATATACATTACATTTTCATAAATATCTCAAATTCTATAAGAGCTTTAGGGCTGAATTTTTTTTTAAATTGTAGATCTCACTTGGGGACATAAAATGAGAAAACTTTGGGACAAATTAATACATATTAACTATATTTTTTTTGACTTTTAAAATTTTTGAAAAGTCGTTTTTTGCCCATAACTTGAAACACATGTTTTGAAAGTTGGGATGTTTTTACTTAATTTTGTAGAGTTTTTTAAGACGCATTTTTTGAGCTATTGACGAACAATCTGCTATCATTTTATCCAAAGTTATTGACATTTTAAAAATCATAAAAAATCGTTTTTTGCTTATAACTTTAAAAAAATGTTATGACACCTACAGTTTTCTTAGTCTCATTTTGTAGAGATTTTCAAGACGCATCTTTTGACCTATTAACGAACAGTTTACGATTATTTTATCCAAAGTTATTGACATTTTAAAAATCATAAAAAATCGTTTTTTGCTCATAACTTTAAAAAAATGTTTTGACACCTACAGTTTTTTTAGTTTCATTTTGTAGAGATTTTCAAGACGCATCTTTTGACCTATTAACGAACATTTTACGATTACTTTATCCAAAGTTATTGACATTTTAAAAATAAATAATATTGATAAAAACCTGTTTGCATTTTTTGTTCAAAAATCTTTATGTATCTGTAAAATCATTATAATTAGATTAGAAAGCTTTTTCTTGGTGATAAACTTTTTTTAATTTTTATGCAAAACATACCCAAAACTTTTATTATTCCTAATATAGGGTGAATGCGCTAGTAGTCGGACACTTAAGGATACCAATCATTTTTAAATATAAAGTTATACACACATTATTTTATTTTAATTTTTAGTTTAATTTTTTACTTATTATTATATAAATAAATATAAATAAAAAATCGTAAACTGATCGCAAAATATCTCCATGAGGAAGCAAAGTGTTCATGGAATGAACACAAAAATACATACTTCAACTTGGCAGCGGTTTTTAAAATTGAATCATACCTTTTAATAAACTTTGAGTCGCATTAAAAGCATTCTTCAACAAAGATGCATTGTTAACATCTGGTGCCTCATTACCAAGTTGCATAAAAACTTGTGCTACAGCTGTTCCTCCTATTCGACTGTTTCCATTGGATAAATCTACAAAAATTATGCTTCCCTCCTTCTTGAATGATGGCATTTTCAAATCGGGTGTAACAATCTGATCATTAGACAAAAATAAATTTAATCCAGTTGAAAATAAAATATAAGCGGACATTTTAAAGAAAAGATTGGAACAAAGGGTTAACGAATTAATTATAAATCAATGACTTAGACCTGAAATAAATACCTTTGTAATGTCTGGGCAAGGAGCATAACTCGAAATAACAAGAGTTCCAGGTGCTTTTACTATTTCTTTACCATTTCTAGCAGCCATACTTAAAGAATCCTTTCCCCCGTCAATGGCAATCCCTAATTCTTTCATTATTGTACACATAGCCAAACATGCGTCATATAATGCTGCACCCTCACCAGGTAGTTTTGCGGCCCACATCCAATTTCCACTGCATTTCACATCCTAGGAAATAATTTCAGAAATTAAAACCAAATGTATTATTTATTTTAAGATAATTTTGAGGATTCCTTTGCCTTCCATAAGTGAAGAAATATCCCCAAAAGTTCTTTCGCATAAGAATAACCAAATTATATGCCGATTCCATTGTTTCAATGTGAGTAATTTAAAATTTATAGCGATTAAGTTGTAAATAGATAATTTGGGTTTATAAAGTAATTGTAGAAGTAAAAATCTGTGGCTGAAAGGCATAACAACATATCTGAATTTGTCATCATTTCGATAAAAATTAGTTTGAAAAACAAGTTAGTTGTTAAGACAAAATGCGTTATATATCTTGGTTAGGTAGATTCGAATCTTTCGGAAGCGAATTTCAAATTTTAATGTCGATAAAATTAGTGCGTAAATAACACAAGAACTCCATGACACCATTATACAGCTGATCACAAAGCAGCAGCTGTTAGATTAACAATATTCCTCAAAATAATCGTCAGATTTTGGACTATCATGACTGAAGACATCAAGCTGAACCATCTGTATAAAAATCTGACACGCTCGAGTATTTCAAGATGACGATTTTTTTTGCATTTTCAAAAATTTGCTACGATCTTGTTTCACTTCCGAAACATCAGTCTTTTGAATGGGAGCATTTTTAGGGTTCATTTAACATCCAAATATCTGACGCGCTCGAATAAAATTACAGTGGAATCCGTTTATAACGACTTCGCTTATAAGGACCTATGCAGACCCTTTAGTTTGGTTTATATAGAAATTACTGCTGCGGTGAATTCAAATGTTTTAAAACCAAAACGCATGAGGACATCTTCACACGAAGAAATTGATCGAACTTTATTACAGTGGTTCAAGATGCAACGAAACAGAGGAATTCCTGTGAATGGACCTATATTACAGGAAAAATCAAATTTTTTTGCATCGCAGTCTAATATTTCAAATTTTACTTGTACACCGAGTTGGATTAATAGATTTAAAACGAGACACAATATTGTTGTCGGTAAGATAAGTGGAGAATCGTTGTCAGTTAACCAAAATGATGTAAGTGATTGGCCGGAAAAAGTGTGGCCAAATTTACTTAAAAAGTTTACTGAAGATCAAATATTTAACGCTGATGAGACAGGGCTGTTTTTCAGATTAACACCAGACAAAACTTTAAAATTTAAAGGTAAAACATGTGCGGGTGGCAAACTCTCGAAAGATAGAATAACTGTTATGGTTGCAACGAACATGAGTGGTTCAATTAAAAAAAAAACTTTTAGTTATCGGTAATTCTGTGAAACCAAGGTGTTTTAAAAATGTAAGATCATTACCAGTGGATTATAAAAATAATAAAAAAGCTTGGATGACGTCGGAAATTTTTGAAAACTGGATACGTTCTTGGGATCGTGAGTTACAAAAAATAAGGAAAAGATCCTACTTCTAGTTGACAACTGTCAATCGCATACTGCAATCGGAGGACTGAAAAATAAGACTCTTGCGTTTCTTCCCCCTAACACTACTTCTGTATTGCAACCAATGGATCAAGGGATAATTCGAGCACTGAAAACAAATTTTCGTAAAAACCTTGTTTTGAAAACGGTTGACAATTTACTTGACGCAATTTTAATGATTTACGTTGCATGGACAAAAATATCACAAGAAACAATTTCAAATTGTTATAAACATGCCGGATTTTCTAAAATAGACGAAAATATTCCCAGTACGTCCACGGATTTCATTGAAGAAGTCGATATTCCAATTTCAACTTTGGTGGAAGCTACCGATTTTTCTATATCATTGACGAAAGACAGCTTTGAAGAATATGTCGATTTCAATAATGAACTTATCACAAGTGAAGATCCATCAGATGAGTCCATTGTACAATCTCTAAAAAGTAAGCATCTTATTAACATGTTTTAAACGTTCAAAAATTAATTACAATGCATTTTAAGATACTTTTTTTTGCAGTGCAGGACATAATCCCTGAAAACAACCATAGTGACGACGATGACGAATCCGAAATGCAGGACGATGAGATATGTCCAACGCCTAACGTATCTGCAGCATTATTGAATGCAAATTTATTAAGTACATTTGTCCATTCTACTTACGATGATGACGATATTAAAATTTCTATGTCTCGCCTTCACAATGCAATTCGTAAATCTTACTGTGAGGTAAAAGTAAAGGAGAAACAAACAAAAATTACAGATTTTTTTTAAGTTCTTAGTTTTATGGTACAAGTACGATTTTCCTATTTTATCAAGTACACTGTATATAATCTATCTATATTAATAAAATCAGACTTTTGTCTGTACATTGCTTCAAATTAATTTTTTCTTGCATAGTTTATCATTTTAAGTAGTAAAGATAACAAATATGCCATAAATAAAAATTCTGTCTGTCTGTCTATCTGTCTGTCTGTCGTCAATATTTTGTACCGGCACAACTTTAAAACGGCTCAACCGATTGAGGTGAAACTTGGCAGTGTATTCAGTCTTAACGTAACTTAAAATCTTAGGCATATTTGATTAAAAAATATTAACATGAACGAAAGTTATGACATTTTTTCAAAATATTTAAAAAAGTCAAAAAAATGCAAATTTTTTATTTTTTGTCAGATTGATTTGAAACTATTTGTACCTAATTTTTTCACATAAATACAATCAATTTTTTTATTAAATTAAGTAAATAGTCTGAATTTAAAAGTCTAAATCAAATTTTTGAATTTCCAATTTTTTTAATAACATTGTAATCTAAGAATTCGTTATGTTCAACTTTTTATAAGTAAAACAATAATGTTTTTAGTCTGTTGGGTATTAAACGCAATCTTAGCTGCACACCAATGAAAAATATTAATTTAAACAAAAATATGACACTTTCAAAAAATTTAAAAAGTTTAACATTTTTTATTTTTTGATAATTCTTTACTAAACGTTCTTTATTTAAAATTTTGTGACCAATTAAGTATGCTTTTAACAAGAAATTTTAAGAATTTTAATTTAAGAATTTTATCAGAATTTTAAAATTAATAATTGCAAATCTGAATATGAAATCAGATATTGTAAAAATAAAAAATCGAAAATTACTTTTTTACTCTTTGAAATTAACAATTATTATATTTAAATTATTATTATTATTATTGAATATTATTATTATTATTATTATTATTATTATTATTATTATTATTATTATTATTATTATTATTATTATAGATACAAATTATTTTTAAATATAATAAAACTAAATAAACTAAATTAACTTAAATATAATATAATAAATATAATAAAATTAAATTATTTTCATAATTACATCCAACTATACGTGTTCTCCTGTATTAAAATATCTTTTTATAAATTTTTAATTATTATTTATTCAATTCAATTTAATATTTCCACTGCTTTTAATAAAATTAAAATAATTTAAAATTGTATTTAATTTTATAGTATTGAAAATAAAAATTATTTTAATCAATACAATTTAAATTAAAATTTTTAAAGTTTTTTAAAATTTTAATTTAAATTGTATTGATTAAAATAATTTTTATTTTCAATACTATAAAATTAAATACAATTTTAAATTATTTTAATTTTATTAAAAGCAGTGGAAATATTAAATTGAATTGAATAAATAATAATTAAAAATTTATAAAAAGATATTTTAATACAGGAGAACACGTATAGTTGGATGTAATTATAAATTTCAAAATTTATTAAATCTAAATATTATAACCGTCGAAGACGGGTGCGACAGCTAGTTATATTATAAAAATATACTTTTTTGGCATACTTTAACTTATATTTTTTTATCGCTTACAACGACGGAAATCTCCGGTCCCTTAAATGTCGTTATAACCGGACTCCACTGTATTTTTTTCTATTTTGTATTCATCCAAATTACCACCAGCAGCACAAAAACCGGCAGATGAACTTACCTTTGTTATCAGAGATACGTTGGAGTATCAAAAGTATTAATATCTGATACACTCAAGTATTTCCATGTAATTGTTTTTTTTACATTTTTGAACATTTGTATACGCATAACGCACCACTGAAAGGGAAATATTTATAGAACCTGTTATTTATTTTCCTTATCATCTAAACTACAAAATATCATCATCCCGACGACGCTCGAGTAAATCCCCATTTAGCAACATGGGCTCCCCTATTAAAGTTAATTAAATTCAATAAACTAATTATTTTTAAATTAATATATTGAATTTAATTTATTAGTACACTTAATAAAGTTTAGTTTTTTAATTTATTATTATATTACACCTTTCTCGTTACAATTTGGAGACAAAAAATTTGTAGATAGATAATTGTGGTTTATAAAGGAATTGTAGAAGTAAAATTCAGAAAGGCGTAACAGCATATCTGCATTTTTCATGATTTCGAGAAAAAATAGTTTTAATTTTCTCTTATTTCTCTTAAATCGAAAACCTAACAAAAATGTATGGTATTCGTCATTAAGTCTAACTATTTAATATATTTATAAAATATGTTCATCATTTTTAGTAAAAAGCACGAACTACAGCAAAGTTTAACATATTTCTGGTTTATCAGTATTTGATATACTTGTATATGGAGAAAAAAATCAAACGAATATAGTAGAGATCGTACATATACTAATTTCGCGCAGGCACTTTCTACGATATTCGTAGAACAACATACCCAATTTGCAGGGTCCTATACCAAGAGTATAGATCCTTGCAAATATCGTAGAAAGCGCTTATTGTGTTACTGTCTCTACTATATTCGCTTGATTTTTTTCTCCATATAACGATGTAAAATTTATCCTTTCTCTCATCGCTATAAGTCTAGTGTCATTCGGGAGAAATCAGGCAGCTTTTTGAAATAGTGGGAGTTAAACTGCAGGACGTAAGGTGGGATACAAGACGTATTAGTCTCACCCAATGCTTTTTCCTTTCTCTCAGTAATGATCACTTCTATAAAAGCGTCGCCCGCTTGCCGAAATTTTCAGTGCTGTCCACGACAGTTCTCGAGGAGCTCCTCGGATCTGTGCTAGTTTGGCTCACGAAGACTTTTCTATGTGCTCGCACTTGGGTGGTCTCAATTTACTTTATTTTAAATTAATATTTTCTTAATATTTATTTCCGTTTTCTTATGTTGGTCCACGGTATTATGTATATTTAAACTAAAATATATTTATGTTATCTTTTTTAACCTGGCTCGTCTCGGTCTCGTTAAATATAGAAATTTGAAGTCTCGGTCTCCTTAAAGTCTCGAGCAGAAGAATAGAAAAAAGAACTGATTCCTTTTAAACAATATTATATTTATTGAAATTGAAATACATAAATTAAAAAGATAAATGAAATAAAAACTATTATATAAACTTATAATATAATATTAGGGGAGAGGGCATAAAGATGGACATTTGATATAAAATTTTCGTATAAGTATTATATCGCCTCGTGATTTTTTTAACTGATTTAATTTGTTTAGATGATGCTATTTATATAAACACGGATCGGAAAGAATTATTTTTCTTCCTGTAACACATATTACGTGGATTTTACGTTTTAAAAAGTTTTGTAACAGTTTTTATTTCAGTCGGTAAAATTATCTATATTTTAGATTTCGAATAGGTGCATATCGTAATAACCTCACTTATTTATCGTATAATAGTATTCTAAAATGACTCGGTTGACATTGTGTTTATAAATAATTTTTATTTGCGCCAAAAAAAACGGTGTCATTGGTCTTAAGATGGACAGTCTGGTGGCCCTAAGATGGATATCACACCTTAATTTCATAATTTTATTTATTTTCAATGTTACAGTTTCTTAATAATGCTCTAAGCTTTATAATTAAAATTTTTTCTTTTTCTACTTCGAAATTGTGTTGTTATCAATAGAGAATATGATTGCGTGCCATAACTGTCAGAGAGAAGTCCACTTAAAGTGCGCCAAAATCTGCGGACCCTGGTATGAATGTCCGAATTGTGACTCAGACAATTCAGCTTAGAGCTGGATTTATTGTTAATTTCTATTAATTAATTATAAAATACTAATCTCTTATTAAATAAATTATAAATTAATTTAATTAAATTATTCTCATTAAAATTAATTTTCTTACAATGTTATTTAATTTTTAACATTTAAAAAATGTTAGAACTTTTAAAAAATATAATAAAGAAACAGAAAATTGGTTTAAAAATCCTTACTTGATATTTTATTTTTATTTTACTCGCTTTTTAATGCATTTTATGAAGGTGTCCATCTTGGGGCCACTTTTTTCAAATCGAAATTTACAACAATTTGAAAAAATTCTTTAAAAAATGTTTGTTTTCAAATTAAAATTTTTTCTTTATGGACAAAGGATACCTTATTTATTGTACTTTCATACGGTATGCACCATTTTTAAATTTCCTGAAACGTTTGGACTCTAGAGCACAAAATCAAAACTATGTCCATCTTGGGGCCCTCTTCCCTATAAATAATGTAAAAAAAGATAATAATTTTTAAGATAAAATAGGCAGACTTAAATTTTTAACTTTGACTTTAATTCAGATGAGTCCCAAGAATTTAAGCACAAAAGTGATCTAATCGATTCATTTTTTAACGAATTTTTAAGTTGAGTTACAACTAAACCTTTTAAAGAGAAGAGCCTCTCAACGGGAACCGATATTGCAGTAACCGAAAATACATTTCGAGCCATTTTTGATGGAAAATAAGATTCACAGATTGTTCTCTATTTTTATTAGGTTATATTTAACAATATAAAACTATTATGATTCAAATTAAAAATATTTTATTATAAAAACATATTTTTACAAAATTACGTATGAAAATCCAGTCAGTCGAGACTCTCGACGAGAATTTCAGACTTTTACTAGTCTCGTCTCGGTCTAGTCTCGAATTTTTTTGTTTTGTCTCGTCTCGGTCTCGTAACTGAAAATCGAAACGAGACCGAGACTAGTCTCGTTTTGTGAGCAGCTTCAACCATGTTGGAAATATAGAAGACTAGTTGGTTTATGAATTAAAACTTTTTATAACCCTGTCCGACAAAATTCAACTTTTTTTTCACACACGAAAAAATCAATGATTTTCAGAAACTAGGACCAAAAAAAAAGATACCCGTGTCTGGCCGTTTTGCTAGATCAGGTCATTTTTTGCTTTTAGGGGTAAAAACAACCCTTAAATGAAGGGTGATAGGAAATCTTGTACAAATTAATAATTTTTTATGAAACCTGGTATCTCGGATGTCAGATATGATGTCAGATTTTGAAAATTCAAAATGGCGGATCCAATATGGCGGTCGAAATTTATAAATATTAATTATTTTTTATAAAACTTGGTATCTAGGGGTTTTTAAGGTCGCTGAGTTCGCATCTGAAAGTAGATTTTTAAAATTCAAAATAGATCTAATAATGTAGATTAGAAAACAATATATAAAAAATAAAAATTTCCACATATGTGTTTTTTGTATATTGAAAACTTTTTAAATAACAAAACTGGCTTTGTAGTAAGTAACAATATTTTTATTAGATAACAGTAATAAGCTCAAGTAAGATGAATTTAAAGATGTGAAGTGATTGTTTAAAACTGCTGTGCAAAGTAAAAAAGTCTACAATTGTCATTTGTTTTATGTACTATTTTTCGTAACTATGCAACTGAAAACGAACATATAAACAACTGTCATTTGTTTTAACTTTGTCAAATATACAAAAAACACATATGTGGAAATTTTTATTTTTTATATTTTGTTTTCTAATCTTCCACATTATTAGATCTATTTTGAATTTTAAAAATCTACCTTCAGATGCGTTCTCAGCGACCCCAAAAACCCATAGATACGAAGTTTTATAAAAAATTAATAACATTTATAAATTTCGAACACCATATTGGATCCGCCATTTTGAAATTTGAAAACCCGACATCAATTTTGTAATCAGCAACTCCAAAAACCTTCAAGTAATAAGTTTCAAGTGAATTCGACGAACTTTTATAAATTTGAAACGCCATAAATAAATATGTAAATAAAATTAGACCTAATATGATTAATACACTCATAAATAATTCAACAGATATTAATTTTCATTACCTTTAAATTTGAAATGGGTGCAAACATTAGATTTGTAAGAGATTCTGCTACTGACATTCTTGCACCTGCCGCTGGATTTACCAAACCTTTTATAGGTTGCTCACCAATTGCTGATGCTATGCCAACCTACAATTAATTTGGTTTTTTAATTGACATTACAAAGATTTTGGAATGTTTTGAGATCATTTCCACATTGCAATCATTTTCAGTTAGCTTGAATTAAATTAAGAAATAATTTCCTGACGCTGAGAATCAATGCAGAAAATGAGTATGTAATGTTGAGGAAATGATTAGTGCTGTTAGGGTAGTTATTGAAAACAGAAAAATATAATATTGAACTAACTTATCTTAGTTAAGCAAGGGGTGGAACTTACCAATGAAAAATGTGATACAGCTGTCACTGCAACATCAGCAAGAGGAGTGTGCAAAGGACCAACACATTGTTGTTGAGCAATTAATCCTGTTACGCAACGATCAACTTTATTGGTTAAATAACGCTTACTTGCCACTGAAGGTAATCTCAAAACTCTATCTAAAGCTGCTCTCACAGTTAAATCTTGAGGCAGTAGGCAAGGATTAAGCTGTTGGTACTTTCTTTCTAGATTGAATGTCTGTTAGATAAAAAATGACATCAAATTTAGATATGTTATAAAAGCTATCAAATATATTTTAGCATTATTAAGTTTATATCATCGAGAGTATGTATTTTTAGTTATTGAAATCTGTAATATTTGTAACGAAGTAAATTGTTACTTACTTCAATTCCCTGAAAATAAAAAAGTTTCATATTCTATAGAGTTCTGAAGTATCTATATAAAGTTGCTCGAAGCGCCAATAGCGGATGTTTTTTTCCAATCATTAATTAATTAAATTCTGCGATCAGGACAAATTATATTCAATGCAACAAGATACCTACATACAGTGGAACCTCGATTATCCGAACTAATCTAGGCAAGGCCGGGTTCGGATAATCAAAAATTCGGATAATAGAGATTTAAATTTTTTTTAATAATTAAAGTAAAAATATGTACAATTGAACTATATATGAAACTTAATACATATGTTTTTAAATATACATAAGTATATACATATATGTAAATATATATTAATTAATAATATATTAAAAACTCAAAAAATTCGGAAATTTTTAAGATTTTTTTGGCATAAATTTGGTTATTTTGCTTTGAATGATAAAATAAATAGAGAAAATAAAATTTAAAATTCGGGAGACCAAAAAATAGTTCGGATAATAGAAGTTCGGTTAAAATGTTTTTCGGTTCGGATAATCGAGGTTCTACTGTATTTGAAATTTTCACCACCAGTTGGCGCTAAGAACATACTTCAGAACTCTATTGGCGATTCAAACAGCTACACTAGCGCCACAGTTAAACTAACGTAAGCGTGACTCGCTTTGTATCACTCAATGTATTCTAAATTATTTTTCTTTATTTAACCCTTAAAAATTATTTTACAAAGGGAATAAAAATATCAGAATAATTAAATAATTTGAAATAAACTGTCAAAACAGAGACTGCTTCAGAGCGAGTCACGCTTACGTTAGTTCAACTGTGGCGCTAGTGTAGCTGTTTGAATCGTCAATAGGGAGAAAATATATTGCACGGCAACTGGTCTGTCTCTTTTTTCACATAGGTTTGTCTTGTTTTCTCTTTCTGCATTCTTTCTTTCGTTCAACGTAAATGAAAAAGTGACTTTCGTCAAATCTTATTAGAAGTATAACTACAATTTATTCATTCAAAATAAAAACCACTTTTTAGTATTAATTTCTATATGAATTAAGATATAAAAATGCAGATTATGTGATAAAGGTCATTTAAAAAAAAAAAAAAAACTGGAAACAATTTTATGGGGGTTCAGCCAAAGCGATGAAACCAAATAGCAATAAGTTCAGGATGTTTTGAAAAAGTTTAGTTTAAGTCCTGGATTAAATTTAACGGAGCATAATGAGAGAGTTAATAAATCTGCAAAATTAAGGTCAATGAAAATGTGAATGTCACCTTTTAAATTAAATCGACACCGGCTAAAGAAGCAAAGACTAAAACTGAAGTATCAAAAAGAAGACATAACTTAGAAATGTCCGCTGTTGCTTCTACTAATTTGACCTATACAGAGGAAAGTAAATCTTTTATTTCTTCTTCTCTCTAAACAGTCTTCTTTGATTGAGAAATAGGAGAATTTAGTATGACAAATGATATCTTACAAATTGTCATTACATGTAATTATGCAGAATTTAATAAATATATTGATCCTTCAAAACGCATATAACCTAAAGATTCTAAAGTTCATGGATTAAAATATGATTGTGAAAGCGAAAATAGTTGGTTCTCATTTAAAACAATGCAATACGGTTTGTTGATGATTTTAAAATAATGTTTCAGCGGTAATGTTCTAGCAATGAACAAATTAGTAAACATTTTGTTATGCATGAAGATACAAGCAAATCGACTCATTGTTTGATGATGGTATCAAGCAAGGATTTCAAAACGTCAATGCCTTTTGTGTGTTTGGGCATCGCCAATATTCCGCTGGTCGATGAGTGTGATATTATTTCGCTATGGAAAGATTTATTTAATAATAACAAGTAATTTAAATATTTACTTACCTTTTTCGGCATTTTTCCAAGGACTAATTCAAGATCAAGATCGACTGGATGTTTAACATTTTTAGTAGAGCCATTTAAATATTTGCTCTCGTCACAATCTTCTTCCTCGGACAAAATAATTCTTCCATTTCCAGTTACAGTTCCAACAAAATTTATTGGACACTTCTCTCTTTCTGCTATTTGTTTTAATAATTCTGTATCCTCAGTTTTGCAAAGGAAAGCATCATTTTCTTGGTATTCTGCACCCCAAAGTTCTAAAGTTGATAAGCTAGGATCACCCAAATTAAATTTCTTGGTGAATATTACAGCTCCAGCAGGTTCAACGATTTCCTTTAAAACATTAGCTGAAATAAAAATAACAAATACAAGTTAAAGTATGAATTTTTGTGTTTATATAACGAACACTTTGATTCCTCACGGAGATTTTATTTATGAATTATAAGTAGATCGATTAAAAAATAAATAAATAGATACAGTTTTAAAACAAATAAAACGTAGTGATATATTAGAGTTTAAACAAGAAGTACAACTTTTACAAATGACACTTAAATATATTTTGAATTTTTAAAATGACTATGACTGCTTACCGTAATAGAATTAGTAAAAAGAAACTCACCATTGCCACCAGCACCTTGATCATGAATACTCAAAATAGGATTTTTTTCTCCCATTTCCACGCAAGCGCGTATAACACGATTAAGTTTTTGTTCCATTTCAGCATCACCTCGTTGTACAGCACCAAAATCCAGATCCGATTCGTTGTCACCTTGAACCTAAAATAAAAACCTTATTTCTAATTCAATCTACATAAAAAAAAGTTTTTTTGAGTACGAAAATTAATTTTGATTGAAATAATCATTTTATATTCGATTTTATTATCGTCTTATGTGGACTCAACGATGCAGAGAAATGGTAGTGGAAAGGGAGGTAAGGGGGGAAAAAGAAATGTCAAAATGGGAGGAAAGAGATGGATAAGGTAGAAAGATGGCAAAGGATACTAAGGTCGAAGTACAACATATGGTACAAGATGGTGAAGCGGGTTGGGGTGCCAAAAAAATCTTGATGGCAAAGGAAAGGAGTCAAAGTGGAGTAGGATGGTTAGATTTAGAATGGGTGAGGGAGTGAATACGTGTAGATATTGGTTAAGGAATGAGGAGAAAATGTGCAGGGTATGTGGGTACGAGGTGGAAGATTAGGGGCATGTGCTAGAAAGGTGTGGAAGAGGAATTAATGTTTGGAAGGATAATTAGGGAATAGGTGAGGTAATTAGTTGGATTTTGGATGAAAGCGGACAAGGTGTGGCATGGATGGAAGATTTAGATGAGAGAAGGAAGAGTGTGCAGGGAAATTAAATATGGGGTGGGCGTAAAAATCTAGATTTCTTTTCTTGTAAGGGGAATTTTCGAGAAAGCCAAAATGGGCTCAAAAAAAACAGGAAACGGAAGCCCAGGCAATGGAAAAGGAGAGAGAGAGTTTTTGTGTTCTTGCGTTCTATTTTTGATTTGTTCTGACATCAAGTTTTATTTTTAGTCAAGTTCTGTGCAGTGAATTCACATGATTTGTTCTGCTTTTGAAAGCAACATAACTTTTTTAAAATTTTTATTTCTACCACGTGCTCTCTGAATTGTTCTTAGAAGTTGGTTCTAAAACTGGTCCGCTCTGTGTTTTGTTCTCAATGCGAGTGTGACTATACTACTCTCGCTCATTGTGACTGTTTTGGTGAATTGTTCAAATTGTTTGTGTCATTCTAAGGGGTCATTTTTCATGTTTTATGCTGTTCCGTGCGGTTTTACACTCCCGCCTTTTTATATGAATTTTTTTGTTTTATCTGAGTTAGAAGTGACTCATTGTTGTCGTGCTGTGACCTCTGCTGTTTGTTAGGCCTTGTGAGACTATGTAAACATCTTTTGTGTATCTGCGGTGTCACCTTGCATATTTGTGGTCTTCGCTAGTTTAATATCTTAAATGTATACCCCTGTTCAAGGTTTAAGTATATTTAATGTGTTTAAAACCCGGTGTTGTCATTTTCCCGCGTTACAAATATAATTGATGTTTCTGATTCAAATCGGAGTTTGTCTCACTTTGTTTTTCCCAGAGGGAGCTTGGCTTCAGCAGTCTTAATCTAATCTTTCATTATTTTATTTTTACTGTTTCTATTTTGATTGAACGTTGGAAATTGTTACTGAAATCAATTATACATATCAATGTACGGCATATGCGATTTGAATTCATTTTTCTCATGTATTCTTCTCATGGGAGTTTATTATGATTTAAGAACGGACTCAACCCATGGCAAAGTCATTTTCCTTGTATTTGACTGATTCGTTTCCAAGTGAACATCGTATATGATTCATCTCAAATTTCTTATATGCTGGAATTACCTTTATGGTTATCTAACCTGTATTACCAACAGGGTTTCATATAGTCTGTTCAAATTGACACCATATATTGCTACCCCTATGAATATAAAATTCTGCAAGTATGAACCCATAATTCGAATTTTTGGGGGAGTTATGGTGGGGGAAAGGAAAATAAAGAAATCCATTTTTCTCGAAAACTACTGAACCCATTTTAATGAGCTTTGAATATGTTATACATGTCGCTAAGACAATTCTAAAAAAAATCTCAAAATTTTTTTTTGAAAAAAATTCAAAAAAAATTAATTTTAAAATTTTCAAAAGTTTTTTTTGGGGTGATTTTTTGAAGTGACCACTTTAATTTTTTTTTAAAAGTTACCTTATAATATCCCCTTTAACATATATTTTTTTCAGATTTTTAAAAAATGTAGTTTTTGAATAATTTAACGAAAACCATCGTCGCGCTACATGACGCAGCGCGCACAGTGTGCTGATGCAGTATACAGGGTATTCCAAAAGTATGGAAACTTTCAAATATCTCGAAAAGTAAGAATTTTTGTAGAAAATGTTCAAGACAAAAGTTGTTCCAAACAAAAAGATGTACATCTTTGAAAGCAAAAAATTGGGCCCGGAGCCCAATGTTGGGCCCTACAATGAAAAGTGGTTTTCTTAAATGAGACCACTAATTTTCAGTATCAAATTCGTAATCCCCATGAAATTCTGCGTTCAAACATGTGGTATAAGTGCCCAAAATATTGGGCCCAATCCAAGATATTGGGTCCAAAATTTATCAACAGATAAATAAATTTTAGAAAATCGCATCTTGGAGGGATTTTGAGATCACAGGATTAGAAATTGAGCATAGAGCCCGATGTAAGATTCTGCAGTCCTTTGTGAGGGCCCAATATTTTTGGAATTTGTACCACAAGTCTAAGCCCAGAATTTCATAACGATTACGAAATACAAAAAAACTAATTTTTTTACTGCCTCACATTGGGCTGCGAAATCTTACATCGGGCTCTATGCTCAATTTCTAATCCTGTGATCTCAAAATCCCTCCAAGATGCGATTTTCTAAAATTTATTTATCTGTTGATAAATTTTGGACCCAATATCTTGGATTGGGCCCAATATTTTGGGCACTTATACCACATGTTTGAACGCAGAATTTCATGGGGATTACGAATTTGATACTGAAAATTAGTGGTCTCATTTAAGAAAATCACTTTTCATTGTAGGGCCCAACATTGGGCTCCGGGCCCAATTTTTTGCTTTCAAAGATGTACATCTTTTTGTTTGGAACAACTTTTGTCTTGAACATTTTCTACAAAAATTCTTACTTTTCGAGATATTTGAAAGTTTCTATACTTTTGGAATACCCTGTATACTGCATCAGCACACTGTGCGCGCTGCGTCATGTAGCGCGACGATGGTTTTAGTTAAATTATTCAAAAACTACATTTTTTAAAAATCTGAAAAAAATATATGTTAAAGGGGATATTATAAGGTAACTTTTAAAAAAAAATTAAAGTGGTCACTTCAAAAAATCACCCCAAAAAAAACTTTTGAAAATTTTAAAATAAATTTTTTTTGACTTTTTTTCAAAAAAAAATTTTGAGATTTTTTTTTTAGAATTGTCTTAGCGACATGTATAACATATTCAAAGCTCATTAAAATGGGTTCAGTAGTTTTCGAGAAAAATGGATTTCTTTATTTTCCTTTCCCCCACCATAACTCCCCCAAAAATTCGAATTATGGGTTCATACTTGCAGAATTTCATATTCATAGGGGTAGCAATATATGGTGTCAATTTGAACAGAATACCTGCAACGGCAATTTTTGTATCCTTAACCCCCTATACCCTTTGCCCAGTTCAGTGAAGGTTGATACAACTTCCTTGGTGAGAGAGTTTTCGTTAAGCTTGTTTCACACTGTTGCTTTGTTGGTAGATTGCTACGAAAGACAATTAAGGAAGGTATTCAGAGCTAAAACGTGAACACATCGAAATCATCTGGTTCAAAGTTAGCAAGTTTGGACAGCCTCCTACAGCCTGATCCGCGCAATACTTTGGAAATAATGCAATCAAGTGAATGGAAGAACAAAATTTACAACATTGGACACACACCGTTCTTCGTGCATTTTTGGACCGCGTATCAAATTAGACTGTGGAGACACCACGTAAAACTCTTTGGAGGAAGTGCCTCAATGGATGCGACTGGATCCATAATAAAAAGAATTTCGCTTCCGAATGAAAAGAAATTAAAAGTAATTTTTTTATATTTAATAACAGTGGGTGATGAATGTGGACAGTATATTGTTGCTGCAATGATTAGTGAATCACACAACACTGTTTAGATTGCAAATTTTCTAGCAGAGTAGGTTCGTTCGGGTGCTCCTCATCCGAAAGAATTCATTTGCGAAGGTTCAAAAACATTACTGACGGCAGTAATACGAAGTTTCACGCAATATTTCACTATTGAAAAGTAATGTAAAGCTTGCTGGGAGGGAAACCTTCCTAAGTGTTACGTCAGAATTGACGTAGCTCATTTCATAAAATTATATGTCGATTTTTTAGGAAGGCAAACTAGGTCCAAGAAAATGTCCATGTTTTATAAAAAAGCAATAGGTCAACTTATTCTATGTCGCGATTTATCTACTGCCTCAGCAGTACTTAAAGCTGTTTTTATAGTTGCGACATATGAAACAGATGGCCGATTGATCAACAGCAATGTAGAAACAGAATGTGAAAAGCAGAGAAAACTCCAACGATTAATCGACCCTTATGAACAAAAGGAAGACATCGATGAAATTTTAAATAATAATGTCACTAAATGTCATCCGGAAGATAAGAATATCTTCGATGACGATGACAACGATGAACCTAAAAAAGAAAACTGTTAGACAAACTGGGCTATAGGAATAAAAAGAAATGCTCGTGAAATTGTAGAGGAAGTCGGTGAACACGATAATGCTTACCACATACCTTCTCTTGTTAACGGTTTTATGCGAGACATAAAAAGTATCCCGCATTGGTCCTGCATTTTAGTCGACAAATTTGGATTCGGCAAAATTCCTGCTTCAAGTACTGCATGTGATTCAGAAATTAAAAATATTAAACAATCTTTGTTTAATAATAAAGCTTCCGATTCAAATGTAATGAGAGCAGAAATTTTTGCCAATTTTTTTTGGAGTATATATTGATCGCTCCAATATACTCGAGGCTAAAATTATGTGTACAAAACTTTCACAAAAAAAAGAATAAATTAACGACTCCTATGACAAGAGTAGCAAAGTTAGCTCTCCTGTTATAGATATTAACGATTCGATAAAAGGTAATGAAAAATACACTAATACCTTATATTAATTTAACCCCTTGACTGCCGATGGCCCATATATGTAAAAAACAGTCGTGCCACC